ATGAAATTTGAATGTTTTTGTTTTAATTAAACAATGTTACGAGAGCAAATTTGATATTCTGAAATTTCAAATTTTATTACCGTGCCTTTTGACATTTCCCTAAATAGGTCCCTGAAGAGGTTTAAGCCCCATATAAGAGAGTGTGGTGTAAGTGCATTTCTTATTTAAAAAATATAACTAAATTGTTGAAGAAACAAATGTTATTGACTTACATTGACTGCCAAAGTTTGTTAGATAACTAAGTTATTTTGTTTAGGTTTAATGCACTGATCAAGATACAAATGTACAGGGCTCTGCACGAGCAAGAAGAACGGCCCAAAGGCGGGGTGACACGTACTCAATTCTTCCTCATTGCCTTCATGTGCAGCTTTGCTTACTATGTCTTTCCTGGCTACTTATTTGAAATGCTGACCTCTTTCTCTTGGATCTGTTGGATCTTCCCCCAATCTGTCCTAGCCCAACAGCTTGGCTCTGGTCTATATGGGCTTGGAATTGGTGCTCTTGGCTTTGACTGGTCCACTATCTCCTCCTACCTTGGAAGTCCACTAGCAAGTCCATGGTTTGCCACAGCCAATGTTGCTGCTGGATTCTTCTTTGTTATGTATGTCATGACTCCCCTCTGCTACTGGCTCGATATCTATAAGGCCAAAACCTTCCCTATATTTTCAGAAGATCTCTTCACGTCGACCGGTCAAATTTACAATATTTCGAGCATCATTGACTCCAATTTCCACCTTGATGTCGCAGCATATGAGCGAGAAGGACCTCTATACCTCAGCACATTTTTTGCCATGACTTATGGTATAGGCTTCGCGGCATTAACTGCCACAGTTGTACATGTGCTACTATTCCATGGAAGGTACTTAACTAAGCTTTAAGCGTGTGATGGCTAATCATTTCTTGGTTTTTGGTTCCTGTCCCAGCACCACAATTGGTGTGCTTGGCTGTGCAAATGGTTGTAGAACATGCTAATGCAGACCAATGGTGGTCTCAGGACATGGGCTGCAATATTAGACATGGTATTACCAAAATACCCAATTACAGTTTAACGGACCATTAGATTTTGAGCTGTCTTAAAAATAAAGAAATAAAAACAAATTGGAGCTCATTTTAGCTGTGAATTGCAGAGAAATATGGGAGCAGAGCAAATCAAGTTTTCAAGAGAAGACAATGGACATACACACAAGGCTCATGAGCAAGTACAGGCAAGTTCCTGAGTGGTGGTTTTGGTGTATCCTTGTGGGAAACATAGCATTAACCATCTTTTCCTGCGAGTACTACAACGAGCAGCTTCAATTGCCTTGGTGGGGAGTTATACTAGCATGTGTGATTGCCATTGTGTTCACTCTTCCTATTGGGATCATCACTGCCATCACTAACCAGGTAAATTGAAGTCTAATATGTAACTTTTTTGTGTTTTTACCCCGGTTTGGCACATTGTGTAACGACCCTAGCTGATGTCAAAATTTAAAAAAAATTTGGCATAACCTCCCCTAAAAATGGGCCTTCAACAACCTGTCCCAAAACACAAAACACATAAAATCATCTAGCATCCCATTCATCCGTTCATTATACCTTAACATAGTTCCTTTCATGGTGGAACATCCACACACCAATTAATCTAAATTATCATAATTACAGTCCCAAAATACAAGATTAATATTTAAAGTCCCTGTCTGACAATGTTACATGATACAATTGCATGGAAACATATACCATAATTCCACTAGTTTCATTTACATCAAACAAAAGATAAGTTCGTTCTTAAGTTACAAGGTCATGAATACTAACTTAGTTACATTTCCACAATTACAAATATACATAGAACGGTCAAAATACAAAATAGCAAACAACCCTCTAACAACTTTCAAGCTTGAGGTGGATTGTCGTCCACCAGTTCATTTCCAAAACCTGAAAAAAATAATATAAATAGTAGGGTGAGCATAAAGCTCAGCAGGTGACACTTAAGACACACATCTTGTGTCCTTGTGAATCCAAACAAAGCATAGGCCAATGGGAAATGGGGATCATACAATATCGGGAAATAATACACCATAACGATTCAATGTCAAGTATATCCAATGCAATGGTATGAGATGCAATGCATGCTAGTGTCGCTCCCCATTTTCATAATCCAAAACATCATTTCCAAACTGTTAATACAGCCCGCCCTTTGGTAGCCCCGCCGCGACATGAGAGGAGGATTGACTAGTGTCCCTGACCCTTGGTAACCCCGCGACGTCATTATGGGGCCCAGCTAGCTCAACCACGCTAGGACGGCTCCCTAGTCCCCTCTAGGCTATATTAACCTCCGGCCCGTTGGTAACCCCGCAGCGACCGGGTTTCGCATAAAACCATTTCATCGAAAACACTTCCCTTAAATTCCTCATATTTATTTCAAGAACAATTTCTCCCATTTCATGCAAACCCAATGGTATGTGCATATATCTATGTTCCATACATTCAATGTCATGGCATTTAAAATTCTACACCATAAAATTAAACATTCAACATGTTCAATATCTCTCAAGTAATTATTAACACATTAAGATACATCAAAATACATTTAAGCATGCTTTACATATAAAACAACTCACATTCAAATACATGAATTTCTCTAAACAAAATTTAAAATAATCATTGATACAATTAACTTTTAATTAAGCATGCTTGGCATAACAAATGATTATAACTCACAATGGAACAAGAAGGTAGTGGATTAAGGTGTCCCTACCTCAAATTTGCACAAAACCCTTAAAATGGGCCTTGAAATTCGAACTCCAAGAAGGGCACCAAATCTGGAATTGTTTGTATGGATGTGTAGAGCTCGTCGTGGGCTTCGTTTTGCCTCAAACGACACCTAAATCCGCCAAGTAACGAAGAATAAATCTTGCCTCAAAGATTGGGTTGAAAAAGAAAAGAAAATGAAATAGAAAATTGAGAGAGAGATAGATACAGGGAGAGAGAAAAAATGAGAGACCAAAAATGGTCTCCCACTTAAGGTTTAATGGTGGGACTAACCAAAAATTCTTTTCTTTTCTCTTTTTCTTTTTCTTTTTCTTTTTAATTTACAGACATTACACATTGAATGTCAACTTAAGGCTGTGTCTGGTTCTGCTCATTCGCACATATCATACCGATAGTCTGATACACAGATTGTACTATGCCTTGAGAGTAAATTTACAATTGGTGCCAAGTTATATACATTTGTACAAGGCCTCGAGTTACATATTCAAACTATATACATTTAGTGACTTTGTTATAAACAATACCAGATGTTCGATATGTATAGAGTCTTTCCCTCCTAACAGCCTGTGTAGGCGGAATCAGCACCATGTAATTAGCATTCTTTGCTTCATTTATTCTGCCAATATCAGGCATAGCATTGTAGCATTGATTTCCCACATTTTCATGTTTTCACTTTCATCTCTGGATTTATGTTATGTAATCTGTCTGATCTCTTACTATGACAGCAACCAGGCTTGAACGTCATCACCGAGTATATAATTGGATATATCTATCCCGGCTATCCTGTTGCTAACATGTGCTTCAAGGTGTACGGCTACATAAGTATGACTCAGGCTATCACCTTCCTGCAAGACTTCAAGCTTGGGCACTACATGAAAATTCCACCTAGAACAATGTTCATGGCACAAGTCAGTCCTTATTTCCAGACCTTAATTGCCTCCTTCTGACTATTTCCCTTTACATAACAATTGATTATCTCATTCTTAATTTACCCAGGTGGTGGGAACACTTATAGCTTGTATTGTGTACTTGAGCACGGCGTGGTGGTTAATGGAAACCATCCCCGACATATGCGAATCAACGTCCTCTGTATGGACTTGCCCTGCAGATACTGTTTTCTATGACGCATCTGTGATATGGGGTTTGATTGGGCCGCGTAGAATATTTGGAAATGAGGGGTATTATGGTGCAATCAACTGGTTCTTTCTTGCTGGAGCAATTGCTCCTCTTCTCGTGTGGTTGGCTCACAAGGCATTTCCTAATCGAGATTGGATTCAACTCATCAACATGCCGGTCCTGTTGGGAGCCACGGCGTATATGCCACCGGCTACTGCAGTTAACTACACTACTTGGATAGTTGTTGGCTTCTTGTCTGGCTTTGTTGTATATAGATACAGACCAGACTTGTGGAGGCGTTACAATTATGTTCTTTCTGGTGGACTGGATGCTGGGCTAGCTTTTATGGGTGTGCTCTTGTATTTGTGCTTGGGCTTGGAGGGAATCTCTATTGATTGGTGGGGGAGTGACCTCGATGGCTGTCCATACGCATCCTGTCCGACTGCCAAAGGGGTTGTGGTTGAGGGTTGCCCAGTAGTCTACTGATCCATCAATTTTGAAGAAACAAATTTGTTGTTTGTAGCTGTACGTTTGTGGCCTTATCTCTGTAAATAATTCTTATTTATTATTTTGAAAGAATATTTGTGATAGCTAAGACCAGCAAGAAGTTGGTCACAAAAATTCATAAGATTTTTTATACAGTTCATCATGGAACAGCTAACATTTTTTTTTTTTTTTGAATGGAAATTTGGACATGTAAAATATTTATTTTGAAAAATATTTTTTTGTTTGGTAAAGATTTAAGTCGAGGTTGGTGTCTAGTCGGGCGCATAAAATAACTTGTCGAAAATTGTTAAGTAAGTTATTTTTGCTAAGTTTTAATATAATTTTTCTTTACGACAACCAAATATCAAAAATTTTAAAATATTTTACTACTTCGAAGCCTTAAGATCAAGCTTCCTGCTGCTTCAAATCGCTATTTTTATTTTTACATCTATAGACTATAGTCACTATAGTAATTGTTAGAGGGGCAATGATTTATTTTATTTTATTTTTTAAGGCAATGAAGTTCAAGTCCACGACATTTCTATACTATGCCACGTGTCGTAACTGTCTTATTTTTCTCAAGACAATGTGAATGATGAACAATAATTCTTGTCGGATGGTATTGGAATACCTCTCCTCCGTGCGCTATATATAGGACCACCAATTTAACTACAAAAATCAATTTTCATTCATATTTGTGAAATTTGAACATTAAATGATGTCCTCCTTCAAATTCAGATGCAACTTATTAGGAGTTTGGATGAAGAAATTTAAAGTTCTTGGGACATTCGAAATGAGATAGATAGCAAATTTTCTTGTTTGGATAAAGATTTTCATATCTAAATATTTCTAAACACAGTTAAGAATGTTCCTAAACAGAAATTTAGTGTAATTAACGAAATAAAAATGAAGCAATCAGATATAACTTTTTCTCTTGGTTTATAGGAAAAAGAAATGGAAAATGGGGTAATTTTGTAACTCCCTATTATCAATAATTGTGTGATTTTTATTTTATATGTAAGAGAAGATTGTAAAAATATTTAGGTAGAGATTAGATTGAGACCATGGAAGAACCTGAGATCACCACCCCTCTCAGTAAGTCTCCAATTCCATCTCAACCTTAATCTCTTGAGTCTAATCTATTCTGTTTCATTCTTTTTCTCTCTATATATGTATATATATCTAATGTGTGTGTTTGTGCAGTACCAAAGGATGAGAAGATTGAAGATGTTAGCCTCCCTTCGTCCTCACGATCCGATGATCACCAGGTCAAACAATTGCTGCATCATGAAGCAACAGAGGAAAACTCAACGGTCAGACAGGTGGCTCTGACGGTGGCGACCACCGACGACCCCACCCTCCCGGTCCTCACGTTCCGGATGTGGGTTCTGGGAGTGTTGTCTTGCATAATTTTATCTTTCTTGAACCAGTTCTTCTGGTACCGCACGGAGCCTCTGGCCGTCTCCGCCATCTCGGCCCAGATCGCGGTGGTCCCTCTGGGGAAATTGATGGCGGCGAAGCTGAGCCGGCGCGTGTTCTTGAAGGGTACGCGGTGGGCGTTCACGTTGAATCCTGGACCGTTCAATGTGAAGGAGCATGTGCTCATCACTATATTTGCAAACTCGGGTGCGGGAACTGTATATGCCATTCACGTGGTTTCGGTGGTTAAGGTGTTCTATAAAAGGCACATCACTTTTTTTGTTTCGTTTTTAGTGGTTGTAACAACTCAGGTAATATATATGTACCAATTAAGTTTGTTTCTTTTCTTCTCTTAATTTGGTCAGTTTAATTTAATTTCCTAGTGTGGTGACTGATTGGTTGGGGGTTTGAATGGTAGGTGTTAGGGTTTGGATGGGCTGGAATATTCAGAAGGTACTTGGTGGAGCCGGCATCTATGTGGTGGCCGGCAAATCTCGTCCAAGTTTCATTATTCAGGTAGGTATATATATATATGTGTGTCATGATTTCTATCTCCGGTAGGTTTTGTCAGTCTTTTCCGGCCCGATATTAATTGGCCGGTGGATAACTGTAGAGTTTTGGTGGTGACGCCGTGATGGTGATTGATTGGTGGTGGTTGCCGGTGGATATGTTTTTGGGGTTTTATTTAAATTGTTAATTTATCTGTTTTGTCGTTCTAGCTCACTGTAGAGCTGCTATTGATCAGGAACGTACAACGTACCTGATTGTTTGTTTATACTTTTCAGTGAAGTTGTCCAAATATTTAGGGTTTTTTCTGTTCACGAATTATTACATGATCCGGAATGTACAAAATGGTATTTATCCTGTCCGCTGCCCATTACTCAGTCCTCCTTGTACACATCAGTGTGTATCAAGGAGGGATGAACTGAATAGCTTTAGTCAATTAAGCCGGCATTATTTTTTTGGTTTAGAACTTAGAAGTTAAAGCAAACGCATACATGTACGGTTGTACCATTGACTTAGAAGCCTTTATTATCCAGCCAAAATTTTGTTTTGGGGCGCCGTATTAAACAAAAAAAAAATTCAACCAAGGTGCGGGACAACAAGAAAAAAATAAATTTAGGGAAAGTGCAGTAATCAAAATTCATTAGTATTTAATATTTTGAAAAACAGTTGTGGTAAAGAAATTCGAAAAGTTAAAATACAAATATTAAGGGTCCTTTTGTAACAAGTTTTATTTTGCATTTTCTATTTCATATGAATGAAAAATAGTAAATTTTTTTTATTTTTTGTGTGATTTATTTCGAAACAAAACACATGTTTGGTAACTAATGTGTTGCTCAGGATAAAAGAAACTTATTTGCTACACAATCTTTCATAAAAAAAATGTTTAAATTATTTTTAAAAAGTGGTATTTACATTATATTGTTTTTTAAAAAAAAAAAAAAAAATCTCATTATCGTTGTTCAACTATAATAACAAAACCAAGTGAAGGAAAAAAAATAAAATTAAAAATTAAAAATTTGATTGAATGAAGAGAATGCAATTTTTTTTGAAGAGAATAAAAAAAAAATGAAGAAGAAGAAGAGTACGAAATTAACAATGAAAAGAAAGATAAAATTAGAGATATTTTAGAGAAATTAAGAATGTTGGCTCGGCCCTGGCTTTAGTGCATTAGGAAGAAATTTATTTACACACTTGCAGCACTTTTCACAACATGACACCCTAATGGTGTCAAAGGAAAAAATTTAATTACTATTATTTTTATAGCACATGAAGCAGCACGTGAAGCATTTCTCAGTCACATGTATATATATTTATCACTGTAATAGTGTGCATTTTCAGAACGAAATCGGAGTGTCTATGATCAATTGTTGTTGACTGTCAAAATCTGTTACATATTATGACTTCAAAATCTGCCACCTACTAGAGATGCCAATATAACTTTTCAAGCGAGAGAGCAATCTACAAAATTTAGGAAACATCACTGTATCAAAATTGGGCATCTAATGGCAGAGCACATGAACTGATCTTATGGGCTTTTAATATTATTCCAAGCATATACAATGATCTCCTTTCTTTGGATTTAATGCACTAATCAAAATACAAATGGTGGTTACAGGGCTCTGCACGAGAAAGAAGAACGGCCCAAAGGCGGGGTGACACGTACCCAATTCTTCCTCATTGCCTTCATGTGCAGCTTTGCTTACTATGTCTTTCCTGGCTACTTATTTGAAATGTTGACCTCTTTCTCTTGGATCTGTTGGATCTTCCCCCAATCTGTCCTAGCCCAACAGCTTGGCTCTGGTCTATATGGGCTTGGAATTGGTGCTCTTGGCTTTGACTGGTCTACTATCTCCTCCTACCTTGGAAGCCCACTAGCAAGTCCATGGTTTGCCACAGCCAATGTTGCTGCTGGATTCTTCTTTATTGTGTATGTTTTGTCTCCCCTCTCCTACTGGCTCAATCTCCATAAAGCAAAAACCTTCCCAATATATTCAAATGACCTCTTCACGTCGACGGGTCAAATTTACAATATTTCAACCATCATTGACTCCAATTTCCACCTTGATGTCGCAGCATATGAGCGAGAAGGACCTCTATACCTCAGTACATTTTTTGCCATTACTTATGGCGTTGGCTTCGCAACACTATCTGCCACAATTGTACATGTGCTACTATTTCATGGAAGGTACTAAGCTTTAAGGTTTGATGCTTTGTCCCTAAATTTTGAATATCTATCATTGCATGGTGTATGCTTGGCTGTACAAATGGTTGTAAACATGCTCATGCAGACCAATGGTGGTCTCAGGACATGGTCTGCAATATCAGATATGGCATTACCGAAATACCGAATTACAGTTTTACATCACATTAGATTTTGAAATGTCGTAAAAAAAACAAATTGGAGCTCATTTTAGCCGTGAATTGCAGAGAAATATGGGAGCAGAGCAAATCAAGTTTTCAAGAGAAGACAATGGACATACACACAAAACTCATGAGTAAGTACAGGCAGGTTCCTGAGTGGTGGTTTTGGTGCATCCTTGTGGGAAACATTGCATTAACTGTCTTTGCCTGTGAGTACTACAATGAGCAGCTTCAGTTGCCTTGGTGGGGTGTTATATTAGCATGTGTGATTGCCTTTTTATTCACTCTTCCTATTGGAATTATCGTTGCCATCACTAATCAGGTAAATTCAAGTCAAGTTATTAAGATAGACCGACAGTCTAGTATGTTGCAATGACAATGTATCAATTTTTTGTACATTTAAGACTCTATCTTGTTCTGTTCATTTGCACATTTTATACAATTGGTGCCAAGTTATATACATTTGTACATGGCGTTGAATTACATATTCAAACTGTATACATTTATTGACTTTGTTCTAAAATAATACCCGAGCTTAGATATGTATACTGTCCTTCCCTCCTAACAGCCTGTGTAGGCGGAATCAGCACCATGTAATTAGCATTATTTCTTTGCTTCATTCTGCCATCACGCATAGCATAGTTAATAATGATTTTCCACATTTTCATGTTTTCACTTTCGTCTCTGGATTTGTGTTATTAAGTCTTTTTGACTATATCTTACCATGACAGCAACCAAGCTTGAACATCATCACAGAGTATATAATTGGGTATATCTATCCAGGCTATCCTGTGGCTAACATGTGCTTCAAGGTGTACGGCTGCATAAGTACGACTCAGGCTATCACCTTCCTGCAAGACTTCAAGCTTGGGCACTACATGAAAATTCCACCTAGAACAATGTTCATGGCACAAGTCAGTCTTTATTCCTAGACCTTAATTGCCTCCCCCTCCTCACTATTTCAATTCCCTTTACATAACTACTTATAATCTCATTCTTAATTTGCTCAGGTAGTGGGAACGGTTATAGCTTGTATCGTGTACTTGAGCACGGCGTGGTGGTTAATGGAAATGATCCCTGACATATGCGAATCAACATCCTCTATATGGACTTGCCCTCAAGATGCTATCTTCTATGATGCATCTGTGATCTGGGGTTTGATTGGGACTCGTAGAATTTTTGGAAATGATGGCACTTACGGGGCAGTCAACTGGTTCTTCCTTGCAGGAGCAATTGCTCCTCTTCTCGTGTGGTTGGCTCACAAGGCATTTCCTAATCGAGAGTGGATTGGACTCATCAACATCCCGGTCCTGATAGGGGCCACATCGTATATGCCACCTGCTACTGCAGTTAACTACACTACTTGGATAGTTGTTGGCTTCTTGTCTGGCTTTGTTGTATATAGATACAGACCAGACTTATGGAGGCGTTACAATTATGTTCTTTCTGGTGGACTGGATGCTGGTCTGGCTTTTATGGGTGTGCTATTGTATTTGTGCTTGGGCTTACAGGGAATCAGTGTTGATTGGTGGGGAAATGACCTCGATGGCTGTCAATACGCAACCTGTCCGACTGCCAAAGGGGTTGTGGTTGAGGGTTGTCCAGTAGTCTACTGATTGTAGATTATGAAGAAACAAAATGGTTCTGTAGTTGCAAGTTTTGTGGCCTTATCTATGTAAATACTTTTTATTCATGGTTTAGTTTGTAAATACTGTACAAGAACTCTTGTTGGATGGTATAGCTCTCCTACCTCTGCCATTTATAGGACCTCCAATTTTCTTAACTGTAGAAATCAATTTTCACTTGTATTTGTGCAATTTGAACATTTAAATCTCCTACTTTCAAATTCAGGTGCAACTTCTAATCTGTCTGAATGATGCAACAAAACCTAACCCATATATTCCACTTTGTTGTATCATGTGACATTCCACACTATCTATCCAGCACTTGAGCTGTTTGGATGCTATTTTTCATTGTTAGTATGACCCAATTACATGAGACAGTGGGCAATATATAATTACATATAATCATATCTCTCTCTGGCAAATGTATAATTGCTGGTAGACTTTATTACCACCGTAATATTTGGCTTTGTAATGCTTTTTCTAGGAATTAACGAAGTTACTTTATTTCCTGTCATGGAAATAGATTTTCTTCTTTCTTTTCCTAGAAACTTGCAAAAGTGGAAGGGTAGTGATAGAAAATACAAAATATGACCACTTCTCTTTTTAGGTTAAAGATGATTTTGTTTTACCATTCGAAGTGATAGATTCGCTCTCCTTTATCTTGGACCTAAAAAGTCTTAATATATACATGTAATGAAAAGAACATGTTACTTTTACAGAAGAGAAGAATGCTGCTCTAAGTTACCGTTAAAATAATAGCCATAAATATGAGTAACACCTGAAATACATTTAAAGATAAATCTAGCTAACACATATAATTTTTCAAATCAATAAATCATAATGAAAAATATTTTATTCTTAAATCTATGAAAATGAAGTACATGACACATAAGCTTCTACAAAACGAATTCATAAAAATTTTGAAACTACTCACAAATTGAACGATATATCATACTCAAGAAAATATATGAAAGAAACAAATAAATATAATATCAATTATATGCTACGATCTGAATTCTGATTAGCACTGTGATTTATATGCTGCCACTGACTAGTAAATGTACCAAAAATCCGATTGACACCGACACCAGGACCGGAATATTTTGCGAAGGTGATGACGACGGTGGTGCCGGGATGGAGCCAAAGACAGTAGGGTAAGAAGGTGAAGTTGCTGGCAATGCAGTGGGACCATAAGAAGGTGAAAAAGCAGAGGTCCCATTTCCAGAGAGGACAGAAATGTGGAGCTTCTGTGATTTTTTGCAGTGTCCCGGAACTGCACTGGTGAAGTAGAATTGACCAGGAGAAGTGATGTTGAAGAGGGAATTGCCATTGTTGATGTACAAGATTGGATCTGTAAGGTTGCAGTTACTGTGGGATTGCTCTGTGACTTGAATCACTGAATCTTGGCTTGGTGGGTATAAGAACACTGCAGAGACGTCATACAAGTTCATGAATCCATTAATTGATGGCATGATGATGAAGAATATGATCTCATATATATATATATATAGTGGTGATAAGATGAAAGCAGAAATTAATGCAGAAAATGAGAGACTTACAGAGAGAGTCTCCAATCTTGAAGTGTTGATTCTTAGACCATTTGGTGTAGACTAGTGAATTTCCTGGAGTGGGTACACCCCAGGCATCTAGATCTCCAACCTTGTATTGGTAGCCAAAAGCTTTGGTTTGTATTAAGAGAAAGATCAAATGTAATAAAACATACAACACCGTCTGTTTTGGACTTCTAAGACTACCCATCTCACTCACCTAGATTGTCTCTCTTTACTTCTTTTTTTTTGTTCTCTCTCTCTCAAATCCAAGTGATATAGCCAGAAGTGCTCACAAAAGAGGGGAAATATTATTGGCCCCAAACTGTCTATTAGATAGATTGGTGGAGAGAAAGATGGGCAAGAGTGACCCCTTTTGTTGAACAAGTGATGATCTAGCATTTGCTAATTTTTTATTCATGAGACAGACATGTTACTATATCCCACCTCTCACAATGTTTAATAATTCACGGAGTATATGCAATTCCCCCGTTCTAGATGCACAAGATAATTATTGAAAAACATTTGAAAGTGCTACTATTATCCTAACTTTTTTTATTTATTTATTTTGACAAATTTGAATTATACAGCATCTGTTTACACTACTCTCAGTCATAATACCCATAGAATTTGGAGATTAAATGACTTTTACAACTGATTTTTTTAGAATTATGGAGACAACAATTTCACGTGGGACAGCTGGACAGCCAGGAAATGGAAGGTCATTAGAAAAGACTAATGAGAATAAGGGGCCGCAATTTTTATTTATATATTCTTTTTTTTATAAATTATAATCTGGTGCAGATTGTTTGTAGCATGTTAGTATAATTCATTATCATGTGGATGGGCCATGATTTATGTCTCATTTCACGTGGAGAGTCTTCTACAAACGCGGTCTATCTAAAAAATTTAGGAGACCCTCAACTTGTGTTTGATGAAAAAAAAAAATTTACTGCGTGTATTTTGGAATGGAAGAATTTTTGAACCAGCTTTAGTGGTAAATGCGAGCGATTGCCAGCTTTCTCGATATTGGCATGCCCCACTACATACCTTTATGACCGACCACCCATCACTGCTAGATTTAACATTTTTTATACCATTCGTACCATCCCCCACAACATCAGTCCTAAACAAACACCAGAGACCATGTGATACCCACGCAGTCTCAGCTCATCAGGCCCATCATGTGGCATAGCAAACCCAGCTAGAAATGGCCCGTCAATATCACCTCTTTGGGCCTTCAAGCCCAACACAGTTTTCTCTGCCATCTCCAATCACTTTCTTCTTCCCTAGCTCCTTCAAGTAGCCCTTACTAGCACTCAATGACAGGATGGGCCGCCCCACAGATTCCTCCGGGTGGGTACCAACAATAGGACACAGCATTTTGGGCCAGCTCTGGGCCGTGGATCATTGGGGAGATGATGCCCTGAGGGCTGAAATCGAGGGCCTTATTGGCCCAAGTAGAGGAACACTCCGGCAGGCGGAGGATGGCCGCAGTTTGGGTGGACTGTGAGAGCGTGGAGGCAAGGGAGGGCGCCAGAGATGCCGCCACGGCCATGCTCCATGTCGTGACCAGCATGGCCGGCAATTTCAGCGAGTGTTGGAGAGAAGCTGCTAAGGAAAAGGCCATAGTTAAGAGAGAAGCTGCTTCATCATTCTTTATACGTGATTTTAGAGGAGAGAGTGGGGGGCAAGTGTAGAGGACCCTAGCGAAGCAGACCCTAGCGAAGCAAATACGGCCATGCTTGGGACGTCAAGGAAATTCTGAGAACACGCTGAGAGAGAGAGAGAGAGAGAGAGAATCAAACACTTTCAATGCATGCAAATCTATTGAGATAAAATAGGTGACACTTGTTTGCCTACAGGAGTCATTCCATGTGCTATTTGATCCAAAATTGTAAGAACAATGGACTCTCTTACAAGCTGGTGATGTCCAAGAAACATTTTTCAAATTATAAATGAAAATATAAACCCCATACAATCCGCAAATTTAATTGATGGATCAAATGAAATCTCAAGGAAATGTTGTTGACATTCAAAATGTATAGAACTCTTTTCAAGCTAGTCAGCTTACTTGTTGAGACTCTATTTAGTCGAAGTTTCGGCATTCCTCTGATATTAAAAGGAAAAGAAAGAAAAGAACGACAATGGCAATTAGCTGGTCGATATCATACTCAAGAGTGCTGTGACAGTTATATCAATTGAGAAACGATGCAATATATTCTTCTGCGCTCAGAGCTTCAAAGCACCTCTTGCCATAGCCAATGCACCCTCATAACTTAGATTCCCACCAATAAATCCACTCATATGGACAAAAACACAACCGGGAATGCCAGCCTCCTTTGAGAGTTCATCATCTCTCAACCCTCGCCACTGAGAAGGAAGAGCCTTGCGGCTCTCAAATTTATCAGGAGATATTGCCACTGCCTGCACTCGCCAATGTTTGCTCCTATCATCCTACATATTATCACAACAACAAATACTGTTATCTCCTTTTCAGGGTAAAACTTTCAATCAGAATGTGATAAACAAAACAAATTTAACAAAGAGTCTAGACACATGCAACGGTTGAAAAGTAGCACAAGAGTCGTATTGTTTTCTCATAAACAGATATCTAGTAAGAAAGAATAAATAAGGACCAAAAGACTCCAAGACAAATCAAGCCCATGGTAACCAGTAACCACAAAGTTTCAGATTCCCAGTGATTATGCAACCAATCTCCATAAGAAGCCAAAATGATTGAAATAATTTTTACTTAATACTATCAATCTGATTAGGGATATTAGTGAACTTCCCTCAAATATTCTGGCAAATTTTTTTTAATAATAAATAAATAATTTGAAAGATAACCTGGCAATTTTTTCTCTTTTAGGACCAAAAAAAAAGCAGAGTACTAGTATGCTCAGAGATCATGAACAGCCAACATTCTCTCACAATCAACATCTTATTTCCTAATGTAAGATAATTCATTGGTTTATTAAAATTGCATTTGGCAAAAGCCAGATTTTTTTGTAACGAGGACAAATAACGTTAGATCATTCACTAGTTGCAACAATACCCAGTCATGCACAAATCCAATACGAGCTGAAAAAATAAAATGAGAAATAAAAAATGGTAGACAATAGGCATGAGTACCTGATAAAGAACATATTTAATTGGCGGGTCGATTTTCATCTCCTGTTCAAGCTCAAATAAGTGAAGCTTCCACTGTTGACACATAAAATCAAATCAGACACTTCTAACAATAGTGACTTAATTAATATAGTTTAGTTTCATAACCCATAATCAAAGCGCATTAATCCAACAACTGCATATGACAAGTGCATACGAGTAAAATCAAATGAGACTCTTCTAAACTACTTTTGATATGTCATGGATGTATTTAAGTAAGAATAAACATATATTAACGAAGAATAAAAATGTAAAAGCAGTTAAAGGGCAAAAGGTGCACCTCGGATATACCAGCAGGGACAAACAATGTCTCTATAAGAAACTATACTCAAATGTTGAGGATTGATTTTCATCATCTCAAGTGAAGATAAGTTGAATAAAAATGTACTAGGTACAAGCAAATGCACTTAGCTGCTCGGTCAAGAACTTTTTCCTTGCTTTTCAAACTGTTATGCATATGGCAGCAAATACATTAGAAATTTTTTAAGTACAATACAATAGAATATTATTACTTTCTGGAGTTCTATCTAAGCTAATTAATTTCAAAGGGTATCAGCATTATCTCCTTTGGATTACTAGCAAATGAAGTCAACCCTGGAGTCCAAAATAGACATAATACTAGTCATCGTCCAAGGTTTGGCTAATGTGAAAGTAAAGGCCCATCCAGTAAATTTCAATACCCAACCACTTGTCGTAATATCAACACATATGAACACTACTTATGAAATCACGAGAGAAAGAGCGGACTAGGATCCACCATCTATTTTACTCATTTGGCTGCATATGTTTTATGAATCAGGTTGATTGATGAAGTTTGACGACCTGATATTCTGTTCCATTGTCAAGACATTCCTATTAATTTTTCTATTGTCTAAAGCATTTGATAAAGATAATTCTCAGTTAGCAACTGATGCATTAATTGCAGCAAAAATAAGTAATCCTCAAAGAGATTTATAATAATACAACATACAATATATAAAATCATGAAAAATCCAAATATAAAAAGTGAACACACCAATAATTGAAAATGGTGGGTGAATAAAAAGAGGAAATAAAGGAGAAAAAGTAACATAAAACTGATAGAATTAGATATGATTATATAGCAACCCAAGGCTCAATCTGGTACAATAGAAGAGAAAAATCAGACAACTTACAGGGCAAAAGCTAGTCAAAACCATAATTTCTCCACTAGGATCAGTATCATGTCTTGCTGCAAGACACCCCATAACAATTGATCTCGCAGGTAGCCATGATTTTGCATGAAACCGAACACTCTGAGAATGGAAAAGGTTTTTAAAACTAAACTATACATATAAAGAAGTAAATGAAAGCACAAACTTCAAAACTGTCCACATATTTTCAGAAAAATCTCACATCTAAAAATTCATTGCCAGCCAGAGTCATCGCCCGTTGAAAGGCTTCATTCTCCTTCTCCGATGACTGATCAGGGTCCATCCAGTCCAAATTGAATCTACCAACTCTTGAAGACAAATGTGTATTATTCACATATCTGGGAGGCTGGTCTGTGTCATACTGATTAATTCCATTGTCAATTGCATCAATCGCCTGTTATAAGCAAACAAAAGTTATAATGATTGATCTGCATTAACATGAGTTAGAAGATTATCAAGAGAAATATACTGAATAAAGAAAAGAGTGTCTCAATACAAAATCCAGTATGTAACAACCTGAATAAACAAGTAACTAAAATTGTTATCAGGGACGCACAACAAAACAAAGACAACACGAATAAATTCCATATATTCTCTGATTTCAATCGTCACCCTAAAAGAGCAAGAAGTCCCATGCATTCTCTCTGATTTCCGCAATCCTCAATCAATGCAACCATCAAATAAACCCATACATTCCCACAAGAACCCCGAATGTGTATATTCAAAATCCAAACCAGCTCAATGTGTTCTTTTAATCAACCATTTAGTTTTACTTCCAAAGGGAGGGGGCAAAAAAAAGAAAAAGAAAAAAGAACTGGATATAAATCCCAATGTGCACTCTTTATTCATTTTCTAGCACAAAAAGAAAAAAATGATCAATTGACCGGTTCCCCTCCCATCCACTCCATACACCTTCCTAAACCACCAATTATCTCTCAACAAAATAAACCACCCTTTGCTTTGCCTCCAGCATCACATAATATTAAAGCAGTCACAAATACTTCAATTGATATTGATGACAACAGTTATGGCATTGACTGGAAAGACATAAAAAACAAATATTCCCATCTTAAGCATGTTACTTCCCCTAATATTTACACATTAACATCTAGAAGACACATATTTGCACATCTTGAGCTTCTGCTTCTTCACCTTCTCCTCCTTTCCTTTCACTTCTTTATGAAGGTGTATTTTTTGGAGATGTAAATGTGTCCTCAGCTCCTCTCATGATCTCCATTTGTTTAGGCCAACCAAGCTGGTGTTGCAAAATACATTTCCGAGGGAAAAAGACTTCGATTTCAATTTGAACAAAACTTGAACCAAAAAGAATGCTAAGCATTCACAAATTTAAAATGACACTTGTAGAATCCTGGCAGACATTTATCAGTAATATCATCATAAATTGAATGGATAAAGTTTGGACAGTTTTGAATATGCAAAAGAATATCCAATTTTAGTACCTCCATGAAGCTTTTGTATACAGCTAAGAATAGCCGAAGCACATCTGGATGTCCTATATCAAGCTGAAGCTCCTTTGCAATAATCTCCATCCCATAATGCTAAAAACAAAAGGAAATGCAAATTGAATCGCATAAAAGCAAACATAAAAAGCTATAAACCCAACAATCAACAAAAAGTAAACCCTAGTAAGTTACATAAATGGAGCCAAACCACCCAAATGCAAACTTTCAGGAATCAAGTTAATATCACTGTCCATTTTTAACCTATTTATAACGATTAAAACTATAAAAATGATGATATTATACATGCTAGCTTATGCCAAACCTTGAATGAACAACTTTGCATACCAACTATAAGAGAACTAAAACAAACAGAATGCTAGAATTGAACCGTAAAAGGGAAGCTTGACGAAAGAAGTTCAATATTTACCTTATAAATAAGACCAGCACTACTGAGCTTAGTGTTGAAACCGTGGCCGAAAACCTCATCGAAGCCCTTCTGGTGATGATCGTAACGGTCTTGACTCGGATCATAAACCCCACCAACATCAAGCACAGCATCTAGGGTTTCCAACACCTGCAATTCATTAATCCTAACAATGAACTCCACACATACATACATATATAATAACACATCATATACACACACATTAGATTAGAGATTGGAGATTAAAGATTACTAACCTGAGGGTCTCTGGTTCGGACGATTTGGGCGTCAGAGTACTTGTTAGTGAGGCGAATCATGAAGCATCCAAGAGCTTCGTCGCAGTGAAAGCTTCCGTTGTGAGTGCCGACGCGCTTGAGAGTGGTGTTGGTGGGCGAAGCAGTAGAGAAAGCAGAAACCCTAGAGTTGGCCGCCATGAGAGAAGAAATGAGGCGTCTCTCGAAGTGTAAGGTGGGTAGTCTCTGCTTCAGCCCTCTTGCGACTGTGAACATGTCTTTTGGGGTTCTAAATTAACACCGTTACAACTAGAGACGTTACATCGTTTCCTTTATACCACTTTTTTTTTTTTTTTTTGGAAAAAATGATTCTAGGAATATTTAAAGGAAATTACCTCACGTATCCGTTGATTGGTTATTAGTAAATAACTTTGATCCCTAAAAAATATACCCAAGGGGGGATCTTCATTTTTTTTTTGGTAAATATCACTGATCAAAACAAGTATGATAATTCATTTTGAAAGTTCTAAATATTATTATTATTATTTTATTTTTATTTTTTTATAAGGCGCGTTATAAACAATATGAACACTAATATAATAAATTTTAACAAAATAGAATACAATATGAACACTAATATAATAAATTTTAACAAAATAGAATACGAGTACAGCATGAACGCATTAATAATAATAATAATAATAATATATTACATATAAACAATATTCATTTTGTTATTTTATGCATATAATCATAAAGAGTTTAGACAAGTATACTTTGTTATTTTTATTTTCTTAAATTTTACATTATTTTTTTTAATTAAACTATAATATATTTTAAATTGAAATTTAATTTCATTATTTTTAAAAAAATTACAAAACCATCCCATAAAAGTGTCCAAAACTAATCATTGTTGCGTCCCAGTCGTATTCAACTACAAAATAAAATATTACACCCCTTTGTGTATCTCAAAAATGTCCGAGTGTTCGATATCGCTAAGACAACCTGATAGAACGTGCTTCGTAGTCCTTAGTAGAAAAGATATATTACATTGCATTTTATACAAAGAAATGATAAAAATTTTATTTTATAAAATTTGGTCAAATGCTAGAGGTGTCATTGAACATATGTGGAGGTCAAAGTATCCTTATCTAATTTGTCCAAATCTCAAAGAATGTGAATGTAATTTATTTTAAATTCTATTAAAGAGAAACCTACTACATTTTACTACTTATCATTTTTTTTTTTTTAATTGTTGTTGAGCATTTGGATAAAAAGAAAAAATCGAAGAGCATTACTTTAGAAATGAAATTAAATCTTATATTTATGTTGGAGAAGATCTGCGATGAATATTAAAGTTTCAAAATTAAACGCACAGAGAAGGTGAGAGATTCTTTTTGAAAATCCATTTATTCTCTTGTATTTTGAACTTATGTAGTTGCAGTATATATCTACAAATTAATTTAAAAATTACAGTAGCATATATCACAGTATTGTCCATCCTCAACCATAGGATGATATCACGAGGTCTGCATCATCCGAATAGCATTACTCTTCCCTGGAATAGGCCATCAATACACTACTGTTTCTCATGTATTTCTCAGTTTTCACTTACAGTTTTGTTGGATAAAGCCCAATGGCAACCCGAAGTTTCTTCATGACTATTGTGTTCAAGTTGAATACAGATACTCCACTAATAATCCTGATACGTGCCTAGTACTTTCTAAACCTGTCCATAATTTTAAATATATATATATATATATATATATATATATATATATATACATACATACATACATATATATATATATATATATTTTTTTTTTTTTATTTTAAAAAATATTCTGTACTTCTTAAATACTTCGACCGTCTACCCAATACTATTGTGACTTTTCAATAACAAATGTAAAAGAAGAAAACTTTCAATATTTTCAATTAAAAATAAGAATGGAAGTTCATTTCGTTAATATAACAAAATTCTGACCTTCGACTGCAACAACCAAATGAGGGACTTAAATCATCTACTCATATTTCAGACATCACAGAATTTATAGGCCCAACTCAAAAAGGCAATGATGCAGCACAATCAATTTCAGCATCAAATTGAGAAACAAGCAAATACAAAACAAACAGCAACGTGTTTCATCACATTTGAGCTACCCCTAACATTTTGGTTACCATGATGTGTTTTCATGGTTCAAGCCTGAAGTGAACCTCAGCTATATCAATGCAAGACCTTCCTCACCCAGTATCAACCAATCTAGCTTGGTTTTATGGTTTTGTTGCTCAAGTTTAAAAGTCTCTTATTAATGATTCACATGTCATGTCATGTCTGGCCAAATTAGCCCCAATATTGCAGCAGAACCTTCATTTGAAAATCTAAATAGTGTCTCCTTTCCTCATTTGGCATCTTCATCTTCATCTTCATCTTCATCTTCATTCAAGGGTTCGCGTTCCTTTAAAGGTTTTGGAGGAGTTCCCCACCCCTGAATCTCATTTCTAGATTGTTCATCACTGGAAGGAAGGTTCATTTGTTCTTTCATTCTCTCCTTGAAATAAAAATTTTAACTCACAAATCAGTCAAGAATACGAAGCTTATTTAACATATGACATTTTCATCTACACTTTTAAGTGGTTAGTACCTCTTTAGAAATTCTTTGTTGGTTCTTTAGATGACTATCTTTCTTTCTAGTAACCGATGAAAGATGCTTTGCAGCCTCACCAAAAAGTTGAAAGCCCTGTAGATCTCCATTTCTAATACTTGCTTCCAGCTGCCAACATAAAAGAACTAGCAATTAAGACTATCATAGAATCTTTTTAATTTATAATGAGATGAATAATAATTATTTTATGAGCAAGCCAGTAAAGAACTGGCAAATTCCCACCTGAATGTGAATAAAGCAGAGGATAATACTAGCAATAGGCAGCCAGCTCTCCTCTGGTGACAGCGATAGATTCGACCTATGACCACAAGAAATTTCTGTATTAAAGTCATCATACCTGATATCCAACATCCTGATTGCCGTTGTATAGTCACACTAAATGCCATCAAACATACACTATGAAAGAGCCAATACCTTTTATTAGGGAACAACAGATTATTCATTATTAGTAAAGAAAAAATTATTTTTCTTCTGAAAACTTAAAAATAAAACATTTCTTATCCTCAAAATAACCAGCATGACATGCATAACGTATGACCACTTGAGGCATAAAGTTTTACATATCCCAGTAGAGGAAGATAATCAGCTTATACAGTCAACATAACAAGAATCATACAAGAACTACCATATAGATTGTTGCATCTATGAAGAGTACCAACACTAAGCAAAGCAAGGAAAAAGTAAAAGTGTCACAACAGAGACCAAATCAAAGTTCAAAGTCAAATTCAGTCTAAACAAATAAACAGCAGTTGAAAAAAACATCTAAGCGTTGCCCCGAGTGATGCTAAGAGTGGCAACTAATTCTTTGCAATGCAGCAAAATCAGAAGGAATGAACATGTAGATACTCAATCTAAAGAGAAGTTAATATCCCCATATCCATTCACACCCCATTTGGTTGTGCCAAAAAAAAAAAAAAAAAATTTGAAAGTAAAGGTAAGCACACTTGTAACACTATGATTATGGTGTTTGTATAATTTTGTGTGATATTAATATGGGGGAAAAAAAAAAAAAATGCCTGAAGAATCGAGAACCAGACTAAAAGCAACTTCTTCTATACATACATTATACTGTGGGAGATGCGGAAATAATGAGATAACAAGAACCAGTGCGTGGATCAAGATTTGAGTAAAACACTAATGCGGAACAAAATCCCTTAAATTGGCATGACCTTTATGGATTGAGCGAAAAACTTTGTAAGCTCTGATTTTCTTTTTTCTCTTCTTATATATATATATATATATATATATATATATATATATATATATATTGATATATTACTTCTTAAACATAAAAAAAAAAAAAAAAGCAAAACAGAAATTGATATTGCATTTCCACTTATCCTGAAGAGTTACAGGAGTGTTGTTCAGATTGAAAATTAACTTAAATTTCTTTCCAACTTCACTCTATAAACTCAATTTCAGGCTAGCTACTAAGCCATCAGTAATTCAGTATCATAACCTCAGTACTACAATCACTGCCCAGATTATGCCAAAATTAAAAGGCACATATCCATATGAAATAGACCAAAAAAATTAGAAATTTACATCAGACCCTTAAATAACAAAATGAAAATCAAACCTCAGGTAGGGAGCCAAGTACACAATTGCATAAACAGCATATCGCCGCTTCCCAGTATCCAACCACGCAAATACCCAACTCTTAATCAGAGAAAAACAATCAATAAAACCAAAAAATACAATATATATATATAGAAGATCAATAATTAATACAAAAGACTCACCAACCAATTGAAGTAAGGAATGAAGCTTATGATCCCCATAACTGCGAACCTCGCATCGGTGGAATCGATCACCGCGTCACCATCATCATCGTCCGGAGCCGGAGTGATCGGAAAGACAAGGGAGTTAAGAATGCAACCGCCGATTGCGGCGGCCAAAGGCGCGTCGTGAGACAGCTCCGCCCTACAGACCCCATTCCTAGCCCTTCGCTGCGATCAAAGAATAAAACTAGGGTTTTATATTCACGTAGTTGGAGAAATGAAGGTGATTTTAGAAGAAATACCTGGTTGGACTTTTGCCTGCGATGAGATGCAAAGTTAGATTTGAAATTTGAGAGGGGAGGAGGGTTGAATGAGAGTGGAGCTGCAGAGGATGAAGAGAGACTACTGAGAGTGATAGAGATCATTGGCTTGACGGAGTTGAGGGTGGCATCTAATGTGCGCCGGGTCGTCAGTGGAGTAGTATGGGAAGCCCCTCTCTGGATTCTCGGCTCTCGTACGTTTCGGGGACTGTGCCGTCACAGACTGCCGCTTGCAAGGTGTATTGTACAGGTTTAAATGGTAAATACTGATAAGTCATTGTAGTAAAAAAATTATTTACCACAAGTTAAAAAGGAAAAACAGAAAATTTGTCAATACATCTTGTTGGAAAATGATATCATATACAATATGTCATTGCGAATTACTCCATTGATCTATATATTGACTACTGTATAATTTTGTAATTAGCTCCATAGGCTTGTAATCTCCAAAAGTTGATAATCAACACTCTAAATAATGATTCACCATCTAATAATGAAAAGAAAAATGTGCTTTTTAAATTTTATATATATATATATATATATATATATAATTAAAATATTACTGAAAAAAACATATAAATGATAACTCCTTAAATGACCTCCAACCTTCTCAATGTGCTTAGAAGAAATTCCTAGTGCATTAGAGAGGATCATGATCCTACACAAGGAGGAATCTGTTACAAAGTAAAGAATCAAAAAAATGTTAGAAATTAGGCTTTGTTTAAGCATTTTTGGACCACTTTAATACTCCATTAAAGTGGTCCTACTCAGATTTTGAAGTCGGTCCGGGTTGAAATGTGTTCCTCTTCGAGTGTGGATGAGACCATGAGCATAGTGTGTTTACTTTGGTCAAATCCATTTTCAATTGAATGAGAAGTTTGATTTAAAGATAGGTCAAATCCATTTTCATTAAACTTGTTCCACCTAGAAAACGGGAGAAAACTTTTATGGACTTAGTTCTGGTTGGGCTTGACCCAAGCCCAATCGAACCACACGATGCCAATCAGACTAAGAAGGGTTGTATCTATTCAGGTAAGGAGGGTGCCAAACACATATGGGTTGGAGTCACATTTTTATCTTGATAAATGAAGTATATACTTATTTTTCAACAGAAAATGTACATTTAATTTTGGGCTAATTTCATAAAAACCCCAGTACATTAGAGAGAGAGGGGGGTTTGAACTTTGAAGAAGAAGACTTAAAGGGTAGTTTTGTAATTTTACAAAAATATTTTTTAATTTTTAATTTAACATTAAATAGTAAGGTCATATTTGACATTTCACAGCCCGACGAGAAGCTCCGAACAACGCAGCCAACTTTGACAACTTGATCCACCGATGACAGCGTGCTCAGACCAGCAAGAGAAAACACAGCTATTACTACTCTGGTGAGCTACCATGACCCAGTTCCTGTGAAGAGGAAGAAGACCTATTCAGGGGTATTCTTGTAATTTTAAAATAATAAATTTCAACTTATAATTTAAAAGTAAATCATAAGATCATATTTGATATTTCACAGTCCGATTAACACTTCGAACTTTGATATTGGGATAATATGATCAGTGTCAGGAGTTTTCTGACATATGTTAGGGGTTTACGATCAAAATTTGAAAGTATAGGTGTTTTATGAAATTAGCCCTTTCATTTTTTAATAATAAACATAAAAGGCCACGTACTCATGTCACCATTCAAATGGGTGAGTATAATCTACCCAATATTTCAATTATTTTGAAAGTCTTTAAAGGTATTGATGGTTATTTAAAACTGTAGGAATGTTGTTTTGATGTATTTCCTTTGGTCATACCTCAAAAGTTTAGTAGTGCTTCATTCATATAAGGTAATTTGAAATTGACTTTAGATATCCAAGGAATTTTTTTTATTTCAAAAAATACACATCACTCACACTCTCTACCTTTTTAGAAACTCAAACTCTCACCATCCACTTTGAAAAGTAAAAAAAAAAAAATACCAGTATGCTACAAAGACCTTGTAGAATTTAGTCCGCGGTGTTTAATAATTAAGCGGTAATGCTATTTCTATTTCATAATTTAACCGCTTTGTATAAAAAAGACTCATCTAGATCCCATTGAATTCGAATGGTCCATTAACATTTTGTATAAGATCGAATATAAATTCATAATCTTGAATAGAATCATTGGGGAAAAGGAGCAATCACTATAGTGACATTAATCATCTGGAACCTTCATTTGAGCGAAGAAATATGGCAAAACCTCCTTATCAAGATGCTTGATTTGTACAACAAAATGTTGCATAAAATGTCAACGAGGCCTTTCAAATTCAATAGAAACCCAGAATAGGACTCAAGTTCTTTACACTTGTGCCCACAGGTAATGAGCCTTTAAACTCTCATGGTTAACCAGTGCGCAAGGTTAATGACAAAACAGGCCTGGTACGCAAAAACTGGGAACTCCCAGCAGAAATAGTTTCTATTATGAATAATACATAGGCAAATGTTGCAACCAACACTTCCCATAAGATTGACGCTACAGAATTCTAAAGAGAGCTCTAGAGAGAGAGACAGACACAGACAGAGAAAGGAGGGAACACTAGTGATTCCTCATACCCTCGTTAGGTAATTAACAAACTAATGGTTTGATGATATGTTCAAACTTGAAAACTGATAAATACAGGTTCTACATTGCACAAAGTAAACTTCCCTATGACCTTTTTCTTCCTCATGGGGACTATTTGAGAAATTAACAGCCAACTAAGGGGTAACTACATGACTGCAGATGGAGGACCTCCTTTCAATTTGTACAAAATAAATAAGAAATGGACTCTCTGTCGACTGATCATTTGCTTTATGTTATTTGAAGCTGGAATCTTCTGTATCAACGCAGTTGAATCTATATGCCTCTGCTTCTTTCTAAGTTATCAATAGCAAAGAGAAGGGGGCAAAAATTAATTGAAAGAAAGTGATCCCCAGTCAGCAAGGTGAAAAAAGTTTGTACAAAAATGACTTTTGCATAATTAAATTATTACCTGAATATACATGGTGGTCTCGCTTTACCCATCTATCAAAATGTTTTTACTTTTTAAGCATTCCCTTCTCTTCCGTCCTCATTTCCTTCGTGACCAGACTCTGCATTTAGCCGCTGTTGTAACTGGAAGTAGAAGGCAAGCCATGATAACAAAATTAAGATAAGTAATTAAAAATATCACACTTTTATGACCAAGTAAAGAATAGATGTTCATGATATCAGGATTAACCTGTTCCCCTTCCCTTTCAAAAAGAAAAAGAAAAAGAAAAACAAGAAAAGGACAGGCACTTCTTTCTTCTCATCTAAGAGGAAAACAAAGGAAAACACACAGAAACATGGACAGTACGCAGGGACCACTCCTTTTATCAATTAGATATTCCAAGTAAGCAACCAACCCAGATATATTAACTTTATCACCAACTCAAAACCATCTTATTGATGTATTATCTCATTCTGAAAACCACCATATTAGAGACTGCCAGAAAACCTTGAAAGAGGTAATTAATTCAGACCATACACAAGACAACTAAAACTTTCAAAGCAACTCACTTGCATGTATTTTGATTTTTCAGCAGTCAACTCCTCAGTTAAGTTTATCATCCTGCAAAATATGAGAGAGAGAGAGAGAGAGATAGACCATTAGACGAACTCCCCTAAAAAAATAATAATAAAATTCAACAGCATTATTTAATGACTGACCTAGCTTGAAGCTCAGAGATCTTGATAAACAGTAGACGCTCCCTTTCAGACACTGCATATTCAACCTGTTAAATAGGCAAATATAAGAACAGTAATAGTACTGTAAATTTTCATTATAATTGATCATCATATACTCAATCCAAGTGTCTAGTAAAGAACATTAACACATCAGATCATCTCCAGAGTAGATCATGAACCATAGAGATGAAATTTCGCAAGTACAACACATTAGAAACACTGTTGTGATTTTGATAGTGCGCCTTAAGCTTCATCATATACCTTTGCACTCTAATTTGTCTTCAGTTTAATAAATACACTATCTTACCTTCCCTCAACCCCCTGCCCCCATGAAGAAAAATAAAAATCCAAACAAGCAGCAATTAATGAACAATTTTGTGATTATGTGTACATTACAGGAGGATATCATGTCATACACATGAAAGAGGTAAAAGAAATAATGTGTAGAAGTTCAGGACAAATATAAAACACGCTGTACGTGTGAAGGGGTATGTCAAACATGGTACAAATCATAAGAGTGGAGACTAAATGTGTAGATACAAGACCCTCACTAGTATTCATAAACCTTGAATCTAAAAGTTTTTTCCACCAAAACAAAGAGGCAAGACCCATATAAGTCCCTGACATCTCAAAGTTATCTTAAATCTGGGACTATGCATCAAACCAAGGATTAGCAATTGCAAACCTAAGAAAACACAGACGTCTATCACCTAAGAGTTCCTTCACAGAAAAATATAATTTAAGCAATGAAATTAACTGCCAGAATATTAGGTGTATAAATGTACTTACATTTCCATTAATCTCAGAACTGCGAGGTAACGATGACAACTTTCCATTTTGAGAAGCTGAAAGAAAATCAAGTCTAACTTACTCAGAATCCCTTTCACTAATTTATATACAGTAATATTATAAGGTTGGACCTTCTACTCACCATCTGTGACCTCAGCAGGTTGCAAGCTATTCAACAAATTCATAATGATATCCTGGTATTATGACACCAATTGTAATAAGAATATTTATTGGTTCCTAAGTTTAAATTCTTCAAGGCACTTTACACTTGTAGAATTAATAAATAAAAAAACTAGTACAACCTTCCTCACCTGTTGAATTGATGTCTGCTGAAAAAGGTTCTGAAGGTGGAGCATGAGAAGTGACGCAGGTATGTTACCGTTGCCAATTTCCTTGGGAGACTGACTGACAGGCTGAAAAAATTCAGTTACCTTAGATAAGGTTACAAATTACCAGTACCTGAGGACACAGGTTTACAGACCACTCTGTGTGTAAGCACACATCAGAAACAACAGCTGTCAGTCTTCTGTTTCTTTTACAAATTATTTTTATATTCACTGTAACATCTTTAATGATTTTCTAAAGAGCTGATAAAACCCAAGCAGATGGAAGTGGTGGAACAGCGACAAAAAGTTATATGCTTTTAACTGGATTGTATGGAAAAGAAATCTGTGAGGTCAGTACACAAACCAATTGTTTGGAATCAAGCAACCAATCTCCAACACTAGCAGATTTCCTTAGGGGAGATCCCTAAAAATCACAAAAATACAATATCAAGAACTAAGCATCCAAATGAAATTATTATTAAAAGATTATTGCAACATTCGCTACTTACCTGTGAAGATCTTCGAGGAACTGTGCATAACGGAATATCCTGGCAAACACATTTAAGTTAGCAGCGGTCATTTAATAAAAAAATATTTCATAAGAATAGTGCTGCACCTTTACAAGATCAACATTTTCGGAAGTTACTGAAAACCGCCCTTTTATTTGCACCAAATTGGCCTTTGATTTGTCCTCCAAAGAATCTCTATATCCTATTGGAGAAAAAAATATATTAATGCCAATGATTTTGGTTATCATTTAATGTATTGCACAAAAAAAAATGTTTTCTACGAAACAGTTTCCAGTAGCATTGTACTAATAGCAGTAGCAATGGTCCTGACATGTCTTCATAAAAAAAAATGGATTTATTACCTCCTGAAGATTTAATGGGAGCTGATAAACTGTTTGCTGAAGCTCGGTTTGGAAGCATCAATGGACCACTAAAGCTCGGTGCTCTCCGTACTTCACGTTGAACTCTCTCAACTGGTGGTTGGTTTTCAATCTCACACCTAACAATAAACAAAACATGAGCCTGAGTGATCACTTAACACCCCCCCCCCCCCCCCCCTTCTTTTCTCTCTCTCTCTCTCTCTCACACACACACACACAGATTACATATGCAATCCCATCACCCTGTACACCATCATGGACCTCCCACAAAAACAAGAAATGTCATGTTCAAGTTACAGATCCCAACAAAAGCCAGGACCAGACCTTTCATATACCAAGGATCAATGAAGCTCAGATTTCAGTATGATTTTCTTCCCAACTTAATGAATCCAATAACTCAATACTGAACATATGTCATATGACAACCAGTGTAAAGAGACTTCCAAATCATAGAATGTTACTTCATTCTCATGGCTATATGCATATTAAAGTCATTGAGAATCGTATCCATGCCCAAAAGCTACAATTGTAACCTTAAACCTTGGATGGAAAAAAAAGTAATTAACAGAATGTTTTCCCATTCTCAAATGATTTAGATAGATATTTACAGGTTGTACAGGAGCATGTTTGTGAAGTAACGCTACACGCGCGCACACATTATAAAGTTTTTTTCATTTTTTTGGTAAGTCAGGCTTCATATATATTTTTGTCAGAAGGTGTCGGGCTTCGTGTATTAACAAACACCAACAAACAAATACTCTACATCTGTGACAGCTTGTGCTATGATCACTACTAATACTTTATTTAAATTTTGCATTAATTTATCAAAAGCACTAGCCTAGAGGTTGTGATGCTAAAACACCTCAGTTGAGAATAAAATGATAGTAGAACAGATTGTAGTATAGTTCATTCTATTTCACTAGTGACTGAAAACAAGTTTGTGGGTATTTTCTATTTCAATAAAATTTCTAGCAGTCACTACTTGGACAGATAAAACAAGTGAGAACTAGGATTAACCTTTCAAAATTACGCCCCCTTTCTGACTTGGAATGATTTAGCACAATACCAGGCATGAGTGGACCACTCTGAGTCCGGCGATTTTTTCCTGTTGAAGTTTTTGTCTTGGCTTGTGCAGCATCTTTATCTGAGGTTGGTGGTAGCAGCTCAGTTCTTGATCCATATTTCTCTATACCATTTTTACATTGATTTTCAGAATCTAGTAAATCACTTTCCAGATTTTTTCCTTTTTTGTTCACGCACTCAACTGGGTAAACTTCATCACCGCTCTTTTCTTCACTGCAATAATAGCATGTTACAGAGAGAGATACTAAATTAGAATGGAAATAAACAAATTAAAAGCCATATAAACACACAGCAAACTTGCACAAGCACGACCAGCAAATAGATGACAATGTGCCAAAGTTAAACAAATCCCGAGTAAATCGTGACAAATTTCTCAATATTCAAAGGATGAAGTGAAGAACTAGAATGACAAGAGAACCTCTATAGCTAAAAAAAAAAAAATTAAAATCTAATAAAACTTGGAACCATAGATATCACCACACAGCAAAGATGCGGAGGAAAAGAAAGCTTATTCTAAAACTTGAGCGAATATGACCACATAGGATTTCTAGAACGACAAACAAAGGGCCAATTTGGTTCAGTTTTTTCCTAGTTCCAATTTGGTTCAGTTTTCTGAGAACAGATAAAAAGAGCAGTCGAAAAATTGTTTGCCACTGAAAACAGAGTTAAAGAAAATTAGAGAGTTTAAAGAATATTGGAAATTGATAGTATTATGTGATGGTATAAGCTGCCTGACTGGAAATAAAATTAGAGAAAATCAATCAAGATGAATACCCAAGTCAACCTAGTTTGCAGGTATAAATAATCGTAACGTATTTAGTAATAGACTAAATCCGCAGTTATCTGCCACTGTATCTAATCATTAAAACGGGGTGCTTATCATAGTCATGCTAATTATGCAGCAGAAAAATTTACCAAATCAGCATTTGAGATGCCCTAACACAGCAAATGCTAGTTAGAGGCAAAGTACATGAACCTTTTGCCTGTGGTACTCTAGAAGAGTAACAATATTTTACGTCTAATATTATGAATCTTAGATGTACTGAGTGGCCATATAACACCAAACATGAAGGAATTGATTCCAATTTACATCAAATAAATTCCCTGAAATGTTTCCTCTCCAGGATGTACTAAACGGAAGGGACTTTCACCAGTCCTATCATGAATGCAGACCAAACCCATGGTTAACCTGATATAATTCATCAAAATCACAAGTCAATTTTAACTGGAAATGATTCACCAGAATCATAAGTCAAGTATCAGAGAATTCTCAAGTGAGACACTAAAGTTCAGAATTCTGAGCAAAAGCCTGAACAAGAACTGTGTCAAATGCATCATATGCCCGCAGAAACATGGTCTTGGAAATATTAAGGTATAAATGGGAGAGATAATGATCTTGGAAATATTAAGGTATAAATGGGAGAGGCATATGAAAGAGATTAAGCAATAAATATAAACTACCAGTTGAGTGATGCATATCCAAAACAAATATGATACCACATGTATTTGATCCCATCAATTAGTGGATAGTACTTCCAATATTACTCTGTATACGATAATTGAACCAATGAATATGTGGATGGATTTGCACATTAATTTGAAGCGGTAATCGGATCCCCGAATTATCTCTCAGATTCATTGGATTATCTCTTGAAAGTACTCCATTTAGGGTATATTTGCTTTATGTTTCTGTATTCAGATCAACTGAACTAAGTATTACAGAATCATTCCATTAAAAGTGTGCTTGATTTTAAAATTTTGGAATATTATGAACAACGAACACCAATAGCTTTATAAAGTATGTGTTTTTTGTTTTTATCCTCCCTCTCACAAGCATATTTATGTCACAGATCATCACAACTTCAAATTATTAGCTAGTATTTAGTGGCCAGATGAATCTTGTGATCAATTTGGTAATGAACACAGTTTTGAGTGCAAAAACAAAAAACAAAATGGAATAACAAGCTGCAAACATTGACAAAGGCCATAGAACATTAACCTGCTGATAATGTCAATTGTGGAGATTGATTTTCCCAGACTAGATCTTGAATTAGATGCATCCTGGCAGCAATACAAGTAGTTTATAATTGAGAAGCAGTAATCAAGCATATTCGATGAGCTTTAAATAAATAAATAAATATATATATATATATATATTAAAATAAAAATTCAATGACCTTATTATTAACAAACAATTTCATGCTTTCATCTTCTTCCTTCATTTCTTGAATTTCATCATCTTGCACCTGCCAAAGAGGTAGGAGAGAACATTTCATATTCACCTATAAAGAACAAAATTTAACAAGCAAACTAGTCGAGATGATCACAATACTTATATGAAATATTTTTCCTTCAAAAATTATTAAAATGCAATGTACATACCAGTGATGCTTGGACTTTCAAATCCTCTATATCAAAATTCCAGGCACTAACACCTCGCTGGTACTCACTCTGAAACGATAAGCAAGAAATTAACACAAGAAAAGATGACGAAGAGGAAAGGAAGACAAAGAAAGAAAGAAACTATATTTAGTCTAGATTCCACCTACAACTGAATCCCCAGTCATTCATTAATCTAACTAGCTTTTTTTGTAAGCAAGACACTGATAAGCGCTCAATATTTCATATTTGAGCCCTTAAATGTGCATATGTTAATGCCTTAGTGATGCCTTTATCTCGGTTCTTACGTTTGTTTTTGTTCATTTGCTATTTGTAGGACTTTACCCGAAGATATGGATAGTTCCATGGATTTGAAGCTTAAGGGGATGTTCCCGATGCTTAAGGAGATATTCCGGGCCTTTCGGGACAATTTGGGACTCAACTAGAAAGATTTGATGAAATTCAGGCCCTAGAGCTCGAGCATAACTTCTTAATGCTCGAGCACAGCTCTTCAGTGCTCGAGCACTGATTGAAGAAAATCGAAAAAAAAACTAAGTGCTGAAGGAAAAGACGCTTCGGAAATTGTAAATAAAAAAAATGACTTAAGTGTTGAGGCCAAAGCTCGAGCACCAAAAGCTAGAGCTCGAGCACTAACCTCCCCGAAGCTTCCAAAAGTTGCGGGAAAGTAGTAAAATCTCTCTTCTTTGTTCCTTTATGGGCCTAATTGTCCCCAAAAGCTGTAAAGCCCATCCAAGGGGGATTAGGACTTGTTCTCTACCATAAAAGAAGATGTGAGGACACATTAAGCTTCTTCTTCCTCTTGCTTCTTCTCCCTCTTGGTGGCTTTTAGGGTTTTGAAGATTGAAGATTTCTGCAACAACGATGATATCTTCCTTCTCCATGAGTAGCTAAATCCCTTCTTAGGGAATTGATGTAACCCTAGTATGAGTAGCATGGTTCGATTGTTCTAAACTTTGGGAATTTTTCTATGTATATTGATTGCATGATTGTGAGCAATTGACTTAGTTGTACCAAGCAGTTTGGTTCTAATGATTATAATCAGTTTTAATGAAGTTAATCTCTCGTCTTAGAATTAATCTTGTTTTAATGGAATTCAAACATCTTCTATTGTGAGAGATTGACGACTAAGGGCTTCTCTTAATGTTAGAATTGGTTATCACGCAATGGTACTTAACGGATTTATGAATGAATGTTTTGATAGACCATGCTTAGGGAAGATAAGTTATACTACACCTTAGAGTAGACTAGTTAGGTAGATAATTCGTGCCAACCGAAAATGGATTATCGCTTAATGTTTATTCATAAACTATCTTCTTAATTGGATTAGAATGTGCATGTAGTCATTCAATTCCCAAGTATACATAAAAGTGAATTCCCCATAGTTAAAGCAATTGACCATGTTACGAGGCTAGCGGTGAAGTCGACCACTATTTGTAGGTCTTTACCCGAAGATATGGACAATTCTATGGATTTGAAGTTTATAGCGATGTTCCTGATGCTTTAGGAAATATTCCGCGCCTTTCGGGTCAATTTGGGACTCAACCGGGAAGATTTGATGAAATTTAGGCCCTAGAGCTCGAGCACAGCTTCTTAGTGCTCGAGCACAGCTCTTTAGTGCTAGAGCCTTGATTGAAGAAAATCGAAAAAAAAAAAAATAATAAGTGTTAAAGGAAAAGACGCTTTGGAAATTGTAAATCAAAAAAATGGCTAAGTGTTGAAGCCAAAGTTCGAGCACCAAGCTTTAGTGCTCGAGCATCAAAAGCTAGTGCTCGAGCACAAGGACCCAAAGCTCGAGCACTGAAGGTCAGAGCTGGAGCACTAACCTCCCAGAAGTTTCCAAAAGATGCGAGAAAGTTGTAAAATCTCTCTTCTTTGTTTCTTTATAGGCCTAATTGTCCCCAAAAGCTGTAAAGCCCATCCAAGGGAGATTAGGACTTGATCTCTACTATAAAAGAAGATGAGAAGACACATTAAGCTTCTTCTTCCTCTTGATTCTTCTACCTCTTGGCGGCTTTTAGGGTTTTGAAGATTGAAGATTCCAATTGGCAGTCCATGGAGAAGATTTTTGCAACAACGATGATATCTTCGTTCTCCATGAGTAGCTAAATCCCTTCTTAGGGAACTGATGTAACCCTAGTCTGAGTAGCATGGTTCGATTGTTCTTAACTTTGGGGATTTTTCTATGTATATTGATTGCATGATTGTGAGCAATTGACTTAATTGTACTAAGCAATTGGGCTTTAATGATTATAATCATTTTTAATGAAGTTAATCTCTTGTCTTGGAATTAATGTTGTTTTAATTGAATTCAAACCTCTTCTATTGTGAGAGATTGGAGGCTAAGGGCTTCTCTTAATGGCAGAAATGGTTATCATGCAATGGTGCTTAATGAATACATGAATAAATGTTTTGATAATTCATGCTTAGGGAAGACGAGTTGTACTGCATGGTAGATTAGAGTAGTTAGGTAGACAATTTGTATCAACTGAAGATGAGTTATGGTTTAGTATTTGTTCATATATACCTTCTTAATTGAATTGAAGTGTGTTTTTAGCTACTTGGTTCCCGAATATACGTAAGTGTGAATTCACCATAGATAAGACAATTTAACATGTTATGAGGCTAGTGGTGAAATCAATCCCCTAAGTCCCCATTATCTTGATACCTATTCTCATAAACTTAGTTTAATTTCAATTTATTGCAATTTAGAAGTAGATAAACAAAGAAATCATATTTCTCTGAAATCAAAGCGGGATTAATTTTATAACAGTCCTTGAGGTTCGACACCCTCAATATAGCCCTATCCTACAAGGATTCGTTCTATTGCGAGTGGTTTTATCATTGAAAAACTACACATCAGACACACATATGACACATTACTAAAGTATTCATATAAGACTCCACAAAGTTTAGAAGTATAATGTAGCACCTATTCCTAGACTAGTGCAGATCAAGCCAACATGTGTTTTTGACATGGCAAAGACAGGACTGGTTACATGTATTATGTTCCTTCAGTTATGCGTAGTTCTACCTTCACCTACTAATCTAAATAGAAACACACATTAAAATGACCACTGTATATACTGCCGATGCACACCTTTTCTAACAAAGTTCTTCTCACATGGTAAGTGGAATCAGCGAGAACAAGTTCTAGTATACATAGTAATGGGAAAAGGAAGGTACTATGCCATTGTATATGCTACCGAAGCAACTGTAACTTGATTACCGAAAGAACAAATTGCACTCAGAAAGAGTTTGCTAAATGTCAATGCCCATGCAGATGTTGGGAAATGTACACAAGAGGTAAACCCTCTTATTCAAGAATCCTTGAATCTAATATCAGAAGTTATTCCTTCTTCGTAGATTTTTTTTTTACCTTTCTGGATGGCTTGATGGGCATCAAGGCCCCCAGCTAAATATCTGGAAAACAGAAATGCTCTCTTTTTCTCATTCAATCAGATTGCTTTTGATAATTTGGATTTTTTGGACCAAATAAGAGGTGCTATTGGACGAATGATGTCTAAGAGATGCTATGGAGGCACAATTTTAAGGGCTCAATCAATCCAAAGAGAGCAGGGTGGTGTAGTTTGCAAGATTGGAGTATTGACCTAAGAAAATCTATAAACAAGTAAAATCTTATGTGAACACCAAAAAAATAAAGTGGAAACTCACACTAGATAAAAATAATACAAACCCAAATGTTTACTTTTAAGTAATGTCCCTAACCTGTGATATTGCTTCTTGTTCTGCTGAAGGCATTTTCTTCAAAGCTAGTTGTGCAGCATCTTTAAGCTGAATTTTCATAAGTTCATTAGAAGAAGTGAAATTAGACCCACATCATAGAACTAAAAGAGCATACCTGGAGGGCTTTGACACGATTCCATAGCGGTGGCAAGTCAGCAAAGAGTTTCTTTACAGAAAGTTCTGGAGGCTTAGCATGCTTGAAAAAGGAGTGTTTTAGCAACTTTTCTGCAGTTGGCCTCTTTGTTGGATCTTTCACCAAGCACATTGCAACCATTTCTTTAAAAGACTTTTCAGAACAGGAAACTCTATAATTAGAATATCAATCTAAAAACTAATACAATGCAAAATTTTCAGCAAGAAAATTACCACCATTTCTCTAAAAGAGAGTTCATAACTGAAGATTCTTTAACTTAGAACATCAATCTACAACATATATACTATGCAAAATAGCAACTACACTTAAAGCCTTTTGACCAACTTATAGACCAGGTATCACTGTAGATATGATTTAGTGTCCCAAATTATGCCATACACATGAGTTAACAGCATATGGAGACTCAGAAATATTTACTAGTAAAAAATAATACTAATACCTTAGAGAACCTTTTATCACGGTCGTAGTCAAGTCCAGGAGGGGCATTCTGAATGGTCATTAAAAGAACCTATCAAAGGATAGAAGTAAAACATATGTCAAAGGCTTCAGTTTATAGATGTCATCAAGCCATCAACTCTGTGAATATTTTTGCTGAATCCTCATAAGTAGGAATACTTACCTTCATTGGGGGGTATTTTGAAAAGGGTGCATGACCATGAGCCAACTCCAGTGCAGTAATTCCAAATGACCACATGTCAGCCCTGTAAAATAATGATGGTATGGGTAACCAAGTTATAATCGTACGTATAGCATTTCTTGTGCTCCGCTCACATGTCATCTTATTCACCCAATCAAAACAGAAGGTAACCATGCATGTATGACATTAAACTGACTAATATCCGATTCAACAGCAAGGTATATAAAGCGCCATTATGAAAATCTGTTAAACCTTCCCTCATACTTCAGAGTTTGACAGCCATATGAAGTTAGTTAGCACAATACATGCATACTGTGCATATGTATCAAGGCATACATAACTCATACATGCATAGTGCTCAACTTAAGTATCAGGCATCTTAATAATCATCCCAATCCATGCAACAATTATAGCGAGCTTTAGAATACCATGACCAGATTGCCATATCAGTCCTTACCAAGCAGCACTAAGGCATTTATGGTACAGTATCATTAGAATTGTCAAGATCAGCCATGTTGTCGTGAACAGCTGTGACATTCAGATCAACCTGATTTATGGCACAAGTAGGTTTATTAATAACTAGTCTCAAGAAGATATAATCCTAACTATTTGTGGTTGACAAGAAGAAATTGAGATCTCTAGATGACTCTATTTAAAAAATTATTATTATTATTATTATAAATAAATAAAAGTCATACCCTAGATTACTTTCTCATGACAGCAACTCACTTTATCTTCATCCTTCCTCTTATCCAGCTTATCGTATTATATTTCAGCCACACTTCAAGTATGAAGAAAGGACAATGGTTGTGGCAGGTCTATGGTCAATGTAAAACTTATAGTAACATCTTATGAGTAATGGCAGATACAAGAGGTTGTGTTTAAAATATCTTTCCTTTATCTATCAAAAATAAAATAAAAAATAAAAAAAGGCAGATACAAGAGGGAGCAGGTTTGAGGATCATAAATCCTACCACAAGAATCGGAAAAGCTTAGCAACCCTTGTGATTAATTGAGTATGGACTCAACACATAATCAAAAACCTTCACCAGCTCCAATTTTCCTCCTTAAAGAGGAAAGAGGAGGGCCGGAGGGGAGTGTGAATTGGAACACACCAGTTCAAAATTTCATTATAATGTGAAGCTGTGAAATATCTTAGTTTCAGCCTCCATCAATTCTCTAGCATTACCTCCCAACCCCTTCTAAACACCAGCCAGAGCAGATTGTTGAGGTACTGGTCTTCTCCTCTAAAAACTCCTAATTTGGAAGACAGTTTTAAAATGCATTAAATAATTCGACTCCATTAACAGGCCCATACTCATGGCCATCAAGAATTCAAAATTATCAACATCAACAGCCAATATTATTATTGTCGTCGTTATACTACGAAATTATGAATAATAATTTTGCAGTGGGATATGAAATTGGTATTCCACTTTTGTACACGTGCACTCCACTTGATTTTTTTGTTTTTTTATTACAAAAATCACAAAATTACCCCTCCAGAGTTGAATGTAATAGTACTTTCTGGGATAATTGCGGCGGTGTGGGAGTACTTTAAGAACAATTGTATCACTTTCTTTTCTAAAAAAAAAATGGCAAGTGGAGTGCAAGTGTACAAAAGTGTAGTGTGAAAATCATTTCTCTTTTCCATTAGTTAATTCATTAATCCGCACGTCATTTATTTGTTCTTCTTCAGAAGTATCTCTTTATCAAATCAAGATGAAAAGGAAAATCCTCTAAAAGGTGGTTGTTGAGAAATCAGACCGGCACCCTAGGCTCTGTTGCGTCAGAGGACGCTAAGTCCCAGACTACGCCTGGCAGGGGGTGAATAGGTCTCTAAAATCTAATAACAGCTTAAACAAAAATTTAAAATTTAACTAACTAGATTAAACTGAATGCTAACAACAATCAAAAGATGTGTTGTTTCCGGAAGTTTAGGCATCTTTAGAATTATTGGGCTGAAAGAAGTAGGATTTTGAGTGTTTAAAACCAAATTGGAAACTGCCATCCACGGAGTTCAGTCAATCCAACTCAGGTTTGAGCGAGTCCAATGAGGGTAGATCAATATCTTCAATTGATTGAAGCCCCTGCACTTTGGAAACTTAGGTTTTTCAACTTCAAACCACTTGGGCTCAGTTCCCCCCACCCCCCGCGGGGTCAGTGTTGACTGTTAGTCAACGTTTCTAGAAGCTGATGTCAGCCAGCCAAAAAAGGTAAATGTAATCCCAATTTTACCCTTTAAACATATAGAATGACCATAATGTCTTGTAAGAGTATTATGAAATTACATTTTTATCCACATTACAAGAATAACAATAGGACAATATTGCCCTCAACTTTGTTTATTTCCATTTGCCAAGATCAATATAGGAAATAATCTTACCATATTATTAGATAATTTAAAATTTCTAATTGCACAATAATTTAATTCAACTAATTTCATTAATAATACAATTTTATTTAGACATAATTAATTAAGGAACATAAGCATTCAATTTGCATTTTGTCTTACAAATTCAAAAATTTTAAAATTATATGCGAAGATAAATTTAGATATTTTGTTATACCTAATTATTAAACAAATTAGATATATAATACAAAATTTAAGGGAAATTTATCTGAAAAATCAGTGCTAAGAATTAAATCCAATCTCCGACGTTCTTCTTATTCTCTTTCTCCTTAAATGCTTCATCTTTGATTTTTTTGATAAGTAAGATTGTATTAAGAAGCGTTCAAAAGGGGAACGCATCCCTCAAAAGCTACACAAGACCAAATAGGGCCTCTATACTCTCAAAGAGTCCAAACAATCAACTATCTCATCCATGGATAATTACTTCATCTTTGACGAATAACAAAAGGGAAAGCCAACGAAAAATGATCAGGCATTACATTCACTGGGGAAGCAATAAATGTGAATCCATAAGCCATTAACACAGCCACCGACAAAGACATAATGCTTTGTTAGGAATTATTTTTTATAGACATAAAATTAAACTAACCAAAAAACTAAATTTCCCAATCTGGCAATCACCCAAAAGACCGATCACTTGGGAAACCAAATCCAAAGAATCCTTGCAATGATCGGTGAACAAGTGGTGTCGGTGAAGGATATTGGAGTGACTTTCCGGTAGCACTTGCGAGCACTTAGATCAAGAGCGACCATAGGTGCCGGTGGGTGATGGAGACACACCGGAGCTCTCAATACTGGTCGGAAACTAATGTTTCAGCCGAAATTGGTCAAAAACTTCGCCGCTGGGATTTGCCGCTCAATCAATTCCCAACCGTCTAGCTTCACGTTCGCTTCAAGATGCGTTTTCTGATCTTCATCTCTCTTGTATTCCACAAATCTGACAATATAGTTCTTGCGAGTAATTTTCTTCCTGATAGTTGTTGATTGGTTGTTAAGTCCAATAGAAATATTTGTTTTGTGTTGTTAGGGTTAGGGTTAGGGTTAGGGTTAGGGATTGGTTTTGGGGCAAAGAAAGCTGAGTTCCATCTGGTGATGGTTTGAGATGGATGACAGAGATTGAGATGAGGAGGACGAGAGAGAAACTGAATCTGGAGATTTGAGGAGTGACGATCAGAAGATCCCATGCGAAGGGAGAGATTTAATAATAAGAAATAGTTTAGTATTTTCCTATTTTTTTCTAAGAAAACATAAAATATGCATTTTATTAGTATGGGCAAATATGTAAATTCATGCATTTTTATGACTGAGTATTCTTAAAACAGTTTTAAGAAAACTAAATCAAGCAGAGTTTTTGTACAGTTTTCTGTTTTCAGTTATCTGAAAACAGAAAACTGTTTCCAGAGTTACAAACCAAGCAAACCCATATTTTCCGTTAACAGCGTCAATGGACAGCATCTGACAAGGGAGGTCAGAGTAATTTTTAAAAAACTAAGGGTTACCGTGTGTAGGCTTAGCATTCTAGAGGGGAGATCAGTGTAAATTTACCCATTATTTTAATACATACAAAGAGGAGCAAAAGTATATTTGAAGACGTGAATATGAGCAATATGATTCCACGGCATCAATGTAATCAATCAAAGAGTTTTTAAAACTGAGGTTTGAGTCCTTCTTAATCTTTTCTTCTTCTATTTTTTTTTTATAAGAAAAACGTCCTCCTTAATCTTTATTGTGCTAATGCTTGGAATACATACTTTTAATTGGCATATATACAATTACCGTAACACTGACTCAGGTTCTAGCATCAACTGCATATATGTTTCAACATGTTGCATCTACCTTGTAACAAAATCATATGATGTACGGGCTAAAGAATAAGTGCATGGACAAGCTTTTATTAGGAATACAACATTATAGTTCATAGATGAGAAGACAGTAATAAGTATCATACAGGTTTCATTATTTATAACCATGAAAAGAATCATTAGACTATAGAACATTATAGTACATAGAATCGCACACATGATAATGTTCGAAAGTTAGGAAATACTAGAATTTATTATTCGAGATGACATATAGTGTTACGTACATTATTAAATTGGTAGTAGCCATTTTAACAAAAGTTCAACTAAAGAATTGGGTGCAAATTTAAGGTGTCAAAATCGTATCACATAAAATAAATGAGGGCTTAAAGTCCATTGTGCAGGTGGAGTGAGGTACAAAGGCAGGAAGGAATTGTAAGCTTTAAATTAATACTCACTTAAAATCATATCCATTTCCTGACTGCAACACCTCTGGAGCCATCCTGTAAATCAAGGGAAAATAAAAAATTCCATACACATGATTCACAAAAGATCACCAAAAGGTACAACAGTGTACAGGGAAAATAAATAAAAATAAAAGAATGCTCGATGAATATGTCTCACCAGCATGGGGTTCCTACAAAAGTATTTCTTGAGCGTTGTCTATCACCTTTATCGAACATGCAGGCTGAAACACCGAAATCAGCAAGCTTCACCAACCCACTACTATCAAGTAGTATGTTTCCAGCCTGCAACAACAAATATTAAAAACAAACCAAATTGCCAAATAGCCAACCTAGGTGATCTGAAAGGAAAAATAAAAAGAAAAAAGATAAAGAAGAAAGAAAGAAAAATCCAACCACTACAATAATTTAAAATTCTAGCATAAATTGACCTTAACATCGCGATGGATGTGTCCATGTTGATGCAGGTACTCCAAAGCCTTAAGAGTTTCTTTCAGGATAGAACCAATAGCAGACTCTTCAAATCCATCTGGAAATGATATCTTCATAAGGTGTAGACACGAGCCCTCAGCCATAAATGGCATAACCACCCAAAGGTTTCGGTCAACAACAAATGAACAGTATGCCCTTATTGCATTAGGATGATCTATCAAGCTCATTGTTTGAGCCTCCCTACGAATGTCATCCTGCAAAAGAGCAGATTCCTTCAGTAAAAGCAATCAGGACATGCATTATTCGTTAGATTCATAAAAGGGGCCATGACCACTGTATAGCTCTTCTGCTATAAGACCTGAACTTGGCCAATTATGGCTTACATTGACAAAGTCCAATTTTAATGAATTCAGGTGAATTTAGCAAGTCTAACACTGAACAATTCAAGTAAGAAGGAAACCACTTAAAATACAATGAATAATTATGTAAAAAATTAAACAGGTTCTTGTGGGACATCCGAGATGGCACTACGCCATAATCAGGAATAAGAAAGCCCGGGGTATGAGCCTCAATAAAGTTCTTAAAAGTACCAAAAAATGGTAATAAAAATATTAAAAAGAAAGCTGCATCAAAGAACTACCAGAAGCAAAGCTTTAAATATAACTGAAAATAAGAATAATATGAATGGGGTTCGGTTACCACAACAAAGAATATAATCGAAGTGCAAAATCCACAGAATACTATTTATCTCTCAAATCAAAAGGCTAACAAGTTATAATAACCCATTTACTACATGAGAAGGTAAAATAAATATTTTTATTATATATGATTATTTTAAATTGAAAAAGAAAGGGCCCCTAACAGTCATTCAATTAGGTACCTGTATCACTGTTGTAACAAGACATCTCCCGAGTGGCTAGCCAGCCATGACGTGGGCAGCTGTTCTAGTTTCCAGCGCCAACCTAGGAGCTTAGGTGACAACTAGGTTGTCTAGGCAATTGGCCAATGCCTGACTGTCAGCCAGGCAGCAGGCCCTAGTAATGCTATGTAATATATTAGAAATACCTTAAAGTGTCTGAGGTTGGGTGGAGTTGAACATATGAGTTCTTACATACTAGAGTTTAACCCTTTCCAACAAGCTAACAACAGCTAATTATTTTCTAAGACATACTATAATAATGTGTGTTGCAACTCAAACTGGATCATCTCAGATAACCTTAAATAGAATAGTAACTGTGACACAGCCATCAAAATTGGTCAATATCCAGCTTGATTTCGATAACTATAATCCCAACTCCCAAAGATGGTACCTCAGCGTTAATAAATAAAATGGTGGGAGGTTTCTCGGAATTGAAATTCAAAGAAAAGCCAAAAAAGATTTGAGAAGGGAGATGTGCATAAGGGCAGCTTCTGTGTGTAGAAGTGTGTCTCTAGGTGCACTATTTGTTTGTTTATATGTGTATGAGAGAGAGAAAGAGAACTGACCTATATTTAAACAAGAATCCGTTGTTCCCACTAATATACACCTTCCCTAATACTTGTTACTGGTTTTCTCTCTCATTCAACCACAAAGACCAGCGCCTTCTAATTAAACCAACCCCGTGCTAGCATTGACATTTTGGATGTATAACACCTCCCATGTTAGCAATTTCTCTCCCATTCAATCACATAAACAAGGGCATGGCCTATTCTGAGAAAAGAAAGGAACAACGGCATAGTAATAGCAAATGGCTCAGTAGTGAAAGAAGATTACAGAATACTAAAAAAATATCAGAAATGAAAATAGTAGAGGATACCAAACACAGTCAGCAACTTTTGTAGTACAGCAACTTTTGTAGTACATATCTTCTTAAACCATTACACATTGGAATTTTAAAATTCTAAAGCATTCCTCCACATTAAACGTGCAAACTGGAAAAAGAAAAACTGGAACACAAAATGTTACCAGACTTGAAAATTCCAAGGAAAACTCAGGTTAAAGTCCATACACTCAGTGATTCTCACAATCTGACCCTAAACTCCCATCTATTTTTCATCACTAAATTCTTCAACTTTCAACTATTTGAGGCTTCCTTTAAGGACCTAATCACCATCACCATATAATGTTAATTTTCATCATTAAAGTCTTCAACTGTCAACTATTTGAGGGTTGCTTTAAGGTCCTAATCACTAGGGTGTAGCCTAGGAAGCACAGATATGGATACAAGTACGGTACGATATGGACACAGCAATGCGACACAACAAATCTCAAAAAGATAGGACACAGATACGGCGAGGATGCATAAAAGATAATAATAGAATTATTATTATTATATATATATAAATAATAATTTTTGGTCATTTTATCCATATAATCATGAATGAAATCGCAAATTTGGAACTTAGAACTAGATAATTGTTATTTTTTCTTTTCTTAAGTTTTATTTTACTTTTCTAATTAACCCACAATATATTTCAAAATGCATTGAATCCCATTCTTCTAAAAAAATTAATTACAATGCCACCCCGCCATGTCCTAACAATGTTCAAAACGTGTCCATGTCATGTCCTAGCTCTATCCAAACCGTGTTTGCGTGTCCGACATGTGTCCAATACCGCCATGACACCACAGGAGAAGTGTTTGTGCTTCCTATGGTACAACCTATTTCAACGAGGAATAATAGCAAAATTTTAAAATTACTGGATATTCTAAAAATGAAGAAATATTGGAAGGAGGCCGACAGGGGGGTTGCAAAGAGCATAGTTAGCCATTTTTCAAATACATTTCTAGTTAAACTAACCCCTTGATAGCATCGCAACTCTACATACTTGACACCTTCCGCAATAGGAATTTATCTCTCATTCAATCACAAAATAATAATAATAATAATAATTGGTGCAGCCAATCCCACGAAAGGAGAGGGACGAAGAGGCATCATACCAAGGTTCGCAGTCTCGGTCATGGTGTAACGAAATCGGGCCTGTATCGCGTTATCTAACGGAGTCGATTATTGCGGTAGTGAATCTTTTTCAACCTCGCTCATCATGCTCAAATTATACCGATACACGAAGTTTAATAACATAATTCAATAAAGATGGATTTTAAGTAAATTTTAGCAATATTGGTTGAATTTTTGAAGATCATTTAACGCAATTGATGACTTATTAATGAATTCTATGTCGCTATCGTTACTAAAAATGGTTCGCATTATACTTTTCACAAAATTAATGAGTAAAAATAATTGGATTATGAAATAAATGAATATTTATACAATATATAACATGAGAATAAAAATATATATATAACAACAAAAATAAATTAGAAAAGTATATGGTTTTGTCTACTTGTAAAATAAATTAGACTTAAAAAGTAAATTTTCTTTTACATGAGATTTTATGATAATTTTTATTATGTGTACAATATATATATATATATATTCATTACAACAAAGAAATATTATTGATAATTCAAGAAGTATAGTCCAAAATAATCCCACAATAGTCTAAGAAGGGAAGCTGCTTTATTGCAGCCACGGCAAATCCTCACACTCATTTAGCCACCTTTGAACATCTGCCTTCTTGCCATCGCGCATGGATAATTTGAAAAAACATGCCATACAATGAGACTTGAAATTCCTCTGTGTAGCTAGTCCCACATCAAAATCATATAACCAATAGGCGAACAGGGATGGCCATAATAACAAAGCATCACTGTGGTTAGGACAGCAAAGTCAAAATAAGTGCGATTGGCTGGTTATAGGCTAAAAGGGCTAAACTGCCCAATTTTAAAGTAATTTGCATGGCTCACTCAAAGAGCCTAGCAGTTTAATTATTAGTTCTTATTTAGCATTTGAATCGGCCGGTTCAACCAGAGAACTGGCCATTTTTAAAGTTGTAACGGTGATATGGTCAGAGTATAAGCCGGTTCTCTAAGAACCAGCCGATCTTCATGTGTATACCGGGACACACCAGTATTGTCGGTGAGTCTCAACACACTGGTATTACCCGTGACTCTCGGTATAGGAGGTTTACAAAACCGTTGTGAACCGGCCATCATACTAATAGTAAAATAGTTTACTCTGAGAATTCAATGCGGGAAAAGGTCGAGGGTATCATAGTCAGCAATTTTTTTAGTATGTCTCTTCTTAATCTAGTAAGTAATGGGACTAGTAGAATTATAAAGCACTCCTCCACATTAACCATGCGAATTGAGAGAGAGAGAAAAAAGAAAGAAGAAGAAAAAAAAGAAAAAAGGAATAAACAGATGAAATGTTAGTAAATTTTGAAGCTTCAAAGAGCAAACACAGGTTAAAGTAGTTAAAAAATAAAGGTCTGTTGATATTCAAGTTGGCAGCTGTAAATTATCATTTTGCTCTTGATAAGTAAAATGAGGTTATAATGAAAGTTCCTGACTGGCTAGAGGAAAGAAAGAAAAGACAGAAAGGAAGAACGACTTATTAATGGAAACTGCAACCAAACTCCTTGCTTCTACTTCCGCATCGAGAGAAATAAAATGTATTAGCAGTCCTTTCACTCAATCTTATCAGTCTATTCCTTTTATCAAGTATGTTTATTCATTATCTTAGTTTATTCTTATTAAAACTATTTATTCTATCTATTCTTTCTTCATTTTTTCAATTAATAAAACAAATTTTCCTCCCTTACAATTGAAGGTCAGTTATCACTTTCTTCCAACAGTTCAAGTTCAAATAGAATAGCCAACCATCAGGAACCGTTACAATTGAATATTATAATCAGATTGCTTATCCATAAGGATGAGCTTGTTTCCTTTAAATTCCTTAGATAAGGCAAAATACGCTGTCTTTTACTCCCTTTCTCTTATCAGTTTATGAATATACAATCAAATATTCCTTCCCTGCTTGGTAACCAGTGAAAGAGTTTGTATAATTTTGAGAATCATCTGTTTAGGAAGGGAAATATTACTATACAATCAAATATTCCTCCCTCATGTGCAAATATAGTTAGTCAAATTCGATCTACGAATTGGACAATTATTCACTGACAGAAAAAAAATAAATAAATAAATAAAATGAAAGATCTAACTAATAAAACAAGCACAATAAGAAATCAAATAGAAAGAATTACAAAAGAGAAAAAAACAGAAACTCCAGGAATAAACATTAGTCCTAACAAAACAAGTTATAATGTTAAAAGATTATAATCACCAAAAACTATTTGGCAAATGTTAAAAAGAAGAAACGTTCGATAGATAATCTTATTAACTGGTATTGACCTATAAGTCATACAATGGCACATTCTGAAAGCATAAAGCTTTATTGAGATGTTCCTACTTTCTTCTTTGGAAAGGTGTAGCATATACAAATCAGGAAATAAAGAATAAATAGGATCCAATCTAATATTGTATATGGAGGAAAAATAATTATTTCCAATCAAAATCCAGATTATCGCAATTTTGCCATGGGGATCCACCATAGCCATTCATTGGCACCGGTGGTTGGTTAGGCATAGGTACTGGAACATTTATCGGTAGTATTGCATAAATATAATACTCTTTATGGGGAACCTGCTATTTACCAGATACGTTCCCCTCCTTTGTATACTTGCTTATACTTATCCTAAACCTCCACATTAACCATGCAAATTGAGGAAAAAGGGATTAAAAAAAATAAATGTTCATAAATTTTGAAGCTTCCAAAAGCTAAACAGGTTAAAGAAATTCAAAAATAAAGGTCTCTTGATAATTGAGTTGGCAGCTGTAAATTATCAAGTAACACAGGTGCCATAATAGAAATGGAAAAAACCTAATTACAACCCACCCCAAAACAAAGAAAAAGGGAAATATGTTAGTAAATTTTGAAGCTTCCAAGAGCTACACTGGTTAAAGAAATTAAAAAGATTCAGGTTTGTTGAAATTCGAGTTGGCAGCTGTAAATTATCAAGGTGCCATAATAGAAATGGAAAAAACCTAATTACAACCCCACCGCAAAACAAAGAAAAAGAAAGATAAACCGCTGCACCTTTACAGATGTTTGAATTTATACTGCACTTTAGACATGCATTGCTATTACACTCCATGCTCCAGAAGAAAGATCAATATGTCGATGCTGATAATCAAAATATGCCGCCTAAAGTCCATTTTCAACAAAACCCACTTCTCCATTAAGGCTTACAGAAGAGAGTTGGAAATTCCAAGCTTGACGAAATAAAAATCACACTGAAAGTCAGCCATTTGAAGCTCAAAAATTTTACCATCCACTTATAAAAGAAAATGAAAATTTCCTCAAGTCGTGTGATATCGATTCTCAGTTCATGAATCAATTCAACAACAAGCAATCGTATCCAACCCAGAAACCACAAAACAAATGTGAAAAATTAAATCAAAACCCGTCTTAATTCTAGGTAATTCAGCTAGTGCTTTATTCAATCATACATATATAAAAATAATACAAATATTATCAAATTAGTGAAGATAAGGAGGCGAACCAGATTGCTATTGCAGCGATCGAGATCCAAACACTTAACGGCAACAACTTCATTGAAAGGAAGATAGATCGCCCTATAGACGGTGGCGCTAGCACCATAACCGACCTCTTCTAGAAGCTTGTAATCATTGGGATTCGCCGAGTAACTTCTCACGCCACTTCCCATTCTTCCCATACCATGAAAAACCAAAACCGCTCGTGAAACCGCCAAACTCTGATCGGCGAAACAGCTTTTCAAGACCAATCAAAAACCAGTGTACAAGATAAATCACACTCTATTTAAATCTCTTTACGATGCTCCGAACAATTCGCCGTTTTCAGATTTCTTTAATTTTGCGATGTTTTATGGGGATCGTTGACTGCCATTGGAAGCGATCGATCTGGGGGAGGAGTAGAGCCCGGGATGCTGACGTCGTGCGTTCTATCGGCGATGAAGATTCTGACACGTGGATACCACATAAGGATACACGGGTTAACTTTGAACCAGAACTCAAATCTTTTATGGGTCTAATATCATCGTATTTACTATTCAGAGTTTTGAGTTAAGTATGTTAATTTTTTTTTTTTTTCTATTATTAATTTTTTTTGACAATTAAGGAGACTTGAATAGGGGTACACCCATAGAATCAGGCGCATGAGCGGAGTCGGGGGAAAAGCTTGGTCTTCTTACCGACCAGATTTCGGGTTTGCAAACCTCTTCTTTGATGATCTAAAGGGAGGCGAGCAAGGCCCCCCAATTTTTTTAAAAAAAAATTATTGGTAGTAATAATGTATAGTTATTAATTATTAATCATTAATATGGTTATTATTAATATGAAACAGATAGTTCTATCATCAATTCGTTTGAGTCAGGATTTGCAAATTCGTTTGGCAAATTATTAATCATTAATATGGTTATTATTAATAACTATACATTTGGTCGTCCCAAATATTTTTTACAATTCTATTAATAATTATTATTTCCGGTTATTAGTGATAATTTGGTATAAGAAAATTAAAGTTGATTTGCCAAATTTTTATAAAGTTCTCATTTATAGTTACTTATTTATAGAAATTAAAGATAGTTTGTGAATTAAATTATTTATGACTCTTTTGAACCTTTTGGCATAATGTAATTAGTGGGCACTTAATTCATTAAATGGTGTTGTATATTCACCTATTTGTAAGTCTCCTAACTCCTCACATGAGAATGCCCCTAATTTACCAAAAAAATTAAATAAATATTAAATGCTCTAACATCCCCTCGTGTTATTAGATCACAATCACAATTTATCTACATCTATCCTACACTATTCTAAGAATGTAAGGAATTTCTTAACACTTTAAGATTTTTTAAAAATACAAAATAATTATCTATACTATTATATGATATTATAAGAGAGTAATTAATTTAAAATTTAAATTCACTTTAAATATGAAGAATTTTTTAAAAATACAAAATAATTATCTATACTATTTACTATTATATGATATTAAATGAGAGTAATTAATTTAAAATTTAAATTCACTTTACATATGAAGAGTTGTAACTCTTGAAATAAATACATGGTAATAAAAACAAAAATAAATAAAAAATATATAGAAATGAAGAAAAAGAAAATACAGATATAAATATTTTATTTTATTTAGAATTGTTGGGGAAGGATGGGTTGCTTGTAAAATAGTGAGAGGGAATTTTTTTTTTCCTTTTTTCGGAATATTGTGGATAAGATGTATGAATCAATAGGTGATAGGCGAAAATAAAATAAAATAGGTGATAGGTGATTAATGAAATTTTTATGAATCATTATGTGTTTTGATGAGACTTACTACTATATATATATATATATATATATATATATGGGTTCCCCTTCAAATATATTAAATTGGAAAAATAGTATTTAATATAGAATTTGGAGGGACAACCTTCCCAATTTCAATTTTTATTCATTCTTTAAAGATGATCACCAATGGACCATTTTAATCATTTGCTAATTGTTGCTTCACTACTAAAATTTCAGTTATGTTGGAAAATTTAATTAATTTTATGATTGTATTTTCATTTCTAACTCATGCAATCTCCATTGCAAACCTTCGTGTCGTTATTCCTAATTTATTTCCTTGGATAAAAATATCAAATTACGAGAACTTCTTACAAAGAGGTTGAAAAGGTTAGTTTCTTTTGCTTTTATATTAATACAATAATTTTTATTCACCAAAAAAAAAAGGTATTTTGTTGTTAATAATTTTTAGATTTGGCTGTGTTGCAACAATTACAATATTGCTTTTGACATTTTGTTATCAAGGTAAATTTTTCTTTTGATTTTCATTGATTTTATTTTATCTTGTTTGTTTGTCGAGAATAAACAAGGTAAAAAGTTCAAAAACTAACACAAGATTTGATTTTTTTTTTTTTTTTTCCTTTTTATAAATCAGGTCTTCCCCAGCCGTGTTAATTGGAAACGCCACAAACGTTACACCGATGAGACGGATCACACCTGATCAGTGAAAAATTATTACACCAAGAATTTACGAGTGAGTATTACACCAAGAATTTACAAGCTTCTGTGCTCCAATGATCGCTTATGACATTTTCCTATCAAGGTAACTTTTTTTTTCTGGTAAATGTGAATACTTGTTGTCACAATTACAATATTGCCTTTGACATTTTGTTTGTTTCCATTATTTACTTGTTTGGTGAGAATATCTATAAAAAAAGATTTCACTTGTGGTGTGTGCTTGTTTCCATTCTTGTTTGGTGAGAATATCTGTAAAAAATTCACTTGTGACGGTGATATTATGATTTTTTTTTTTTTTTTTCACTTATGTTTTTTTCTCAATCTTTCATCTTTTTTATAAAAGAATGTAATTATTACCTATTCCTAAATGTTTCCTTTTCATGAGTTTTTATGCTCCAAATTAAATTATCTATAAATATAAAACCACGTATAGACTTTTTTTTATTGTTTTATACATTTTTCACCTTTTTTAAAAAGAGTTTGTATATATTTTGGACTCTTTAGAAACCTCTAAAAATGATAATTATAAATAAGTTTCTATAATTTTTAGCCTCTACGTTTTTGTTATTGTTTGTAGTTTTTTTAAATTTTGGACTCTTTAGTACTATTTACTATTTTCTAAAAAGAGTTTCTATAAAATTATTTGGATTCTACGTTCCTTTTTCAAAAATTCTGAATTTACCTTTCTAATTTTATTATTTGAAAAGAGTTTTTATAAATTTTGAACTCTTTAGTTATTTACTATTTATTGAAAAGATTTTCTATAAATTCTAGACTCTTTAATTATTTATTATTTTTTCAAAAGAGTTTCTATCAATTTTGGACTCTTTAGAAACCTATAACAATCAAAACATAATAGTAATAATTATAAATAAGTTTTTATGAATTTTGGACTCTATGTTTCTTTTAAAAAAAAAAATAAATAAATAAATTTAGGTTTCTAATTTATTATTTGTTTCTATTCTCTTCTTTTTCCTCTTTTTTTTTTTTTTTTTTGGACTCTTTAGTTATTTATTATTTTTTAAAAAATAGTTTGTATAAATTTTGAACTCTTTAGTTAATTATTATTATTATTTTTTATCATATTTTGACTTTCAATTAATTGTAAATAAATAGTTATTTGGACATACCTCGAGTAAAGTTGCCAACAAAATAATAATTGTATTTAGAAACTATTAAAAATATCTGATTTTTTCTATTTACTGTGAAATCCTGCGCAAAAAATGGGATTTTTTATTTTTTATTTGGAATATTGTGTATTGGGCACGGAATTTTTGGGGAAGGGAAATGGGCTGTTTTTTAAAAAGTGGGACGAAAAATGTTTTTTTTTTTTTTTTTTTTTCCTCGGAATATTGATTAGGGTATGTGTGTTTAACCTTTAGAAAAATATTTGAATTCAAAATTGTTAAAAATGTGTAGAAATAATAAAAATTTATATGCACTCATTAATCATATATGACAATTAGATTTTTTTAACTTTTATATGTAGAGATATGATTTATTTAACTCATTAATCACATGTGACTATTAGATTTTTTAAAATTCTATATATAAAGAGAGGACTTATTTAACTCACGTGACTATTGAATTTTTTTAAACTTTTATATATAGAGAGAAAGATGACTCATTTAATCATATGTGGTATTAGAATTCTAAGTAATATATATATAAGTATATGATATAATGTAAAGTATTTAATGAAATTTATTTTGTATTTTAGCATCTTAAATGAGTTTTTATAAATTCTTCTATTAGTTAAAAATAAATAGTTATTTGGATTCATATATTTATATATTATTTTTTTCTAAAATAAATAAAATTTGGACACTTTTGAAACCTACAATAGTCAAAACATAATTATTTATTATGAACTCCTAGGAAAATGCACGTGATGAATGTTTTATAATTATAAGAATATATTTATAAACACAATTGTGAAATATATATCGTTAAACAAAAAAATTATTTATTGTATATTATTGAAATCAAGTCCTTCAGTATATATCACTAAATAAGAAAACATTTATATATTATTGAAGATTATCCATGTAACATTTGTTTTGTTTTCCTTGTTTTATAAATGTAAATATTGTAATAGGAATATGTATTGCATTTGGGCTAGTAATAAGAAAAAGAGAAAACGATCAACATTTTATTCTCCCCTTGGCTTCCTTTTGATCTTCAATTGTATTGTCTTCAAAAGAAACTTCTTTCCTTGTTTTTGCTATGAAACTATTTGAGACCACATCATCTTTGATGCTGTTTATATTTTTTAGGAACAAAAAAGCCTTGCCTTTGCAACTTATTATCTTCTCCTCAAATTTGTTTGTCACATCTTGCTACAAAAGTAAAATTTGAGTTTATGTTAGTTTGTTAAATTAATAATGGAAAAAACTTTTTTAGTTTTTGTTAGACCACATCATCTTTGATGCTGTTTATCTTTTTTAGGAACAAAAAAGCCTCGCCTTTGCAACTTGTTATCTTCTCCTCAAATTTGTTTGTCACATCTTGCTACAAAAATAAAATTTGAGTTTATGTTAGTTTGTTAAATTAATAATGGAAAAAACTTTTTAGTTTTTGTTAACCAATAATAGTTATTTAAAAATTTTACCTCGGCTTTCAAACTTAGGAGTTCATCCGTGTAGTAATTAGTCAATGATTGACAATCATAAAAAATTGTTACAGTTGCTTCTCCAGTTGGATCCTTGACTCCAAAACGGATCATAAATCTACATTTGTAGTCAAATATCTTAGTATCAAGTACAATGAAGATTTAACAAGTAAGATAATTTCTCTTTTTTAGAGTTGAATAAAGTGATTAAGAATGTATTTTAAAAGTAGTTCATTATTGGATAGCCATTCCAAATTTATTAACTAAACCAAATAAATCCAAGAGAAAGAAACAATTTCGACCACTTCTTGGATAACCATCCCAATATGATTAACAAAACCAAATAATGAAACAATATTCACAAATGTAAATATATAAATACAAAAGTGAAAAAACAAC